AATAATTGGATATGATATTCACATAGTAGTTTTATAACAAATAGCAATTACAGAAACGTAATGAAATTATTTTAAGGTGCCAAGTATAACACAAATGTTGATATGTGAGTATAAAAACATATAATAATAACACCAAAATCACCGATACAGGCGATGGCTATAAGGAATATTAATAGTAATATTTATTTAGGTTCATAAATAAATCTCTTCATTGAATTTTATACTAATAACAGGATTATATTATAGTTGGTACTATATTCTATATAGTGTTCTATTCGTGAATAGGGTAAAATTGTTTATTGTGTCGATTGTCGTGATATTAGTGGCTCATATACTTCAGTGTTTGCGGCAGTAACGATTAAACAATTATTATAATATTTATTAAAATGTGTATTGATACTGTGTATCTAACAGTAAATTTAGTGACTTTTTTGAAATTACCAGTAGTAAAAATCAGATTTCTAGCAATTTGAATCATATAACATATTTTGTATATATTATTTATATATATATATATTTGTATTTTGTACGAGTTAAGTTATATCTTGAAGATAATAAACAATCATCAAATTCTACAAGCTCCTAGCCTAGATAGGGAAATCATTTTGTTTTTTAATTGTAAATAATGCAAGATTTTTGCAGCAAAACCAAGACTTGAAGTGCAAGACTAAGACTATAATGGTTCTGCAAGACCTAGAATGAGTCTGCAAAAACAAGACCAAGACTATGGTAGTCTTGGTCTTGGTTTGCTCATCTCTAATTATAGTACTGACAATACATTTGAACATTTGAACATTTTAAACAAAATCGAAATAAGTAAATTTTCTGTGGTTTATTGAAAACAAATATACATACGAATATTATAATTTAAAACTATTTCACATAAATATATAGTACATTTATACAAATAATAAAATAATTATAAAACATTAAAACCAGTGGCATTTCAGTTTTTTCTAGTAGGGCAGTCGGCATGCTCTTATTAAATTGCTGACTCAGCGACTTTTTTTTACCAAAGTGCCGATTAACTTAGGGGTTGGATTTAGACTTAATAAGGCCCTAAGCTATTTTTTAGATATTTGATGCCCTTTATAAGTATAGATTTTATATGCATGGGTGGAAATAGGGGGTCTTTGAAGGGGGCTTCCCCAAAAACAAAAACCACAAAATGTTGTACAGGTATATGCAATATTTTTAAATTTATTTATGGTAAACATGCATTTAAAAATGTATTTAGAGAAAAAATTAATTCAATCAAACGAATATGGTCGTATGGATGTAAACCAAAATAAATTTGGGGCCCTATAATTATAACTGCACTGGTAACATGGAAAACGTGTGGACGCCACTGTAGAGAGTTATAATACTCATACCTCATAAGGGTTTTTACGGCTGTAAATAAAATCGAACGGAGTAAAAACAATCATTGATAAATACTCCGAAAATAAATGTATACACTAGTATATACAGTTCTGGTGCATATTATCACATCCCACAGTAGAGTGAAACATAATATTAATTTCCAAGTTAGATAATAATAATATTCAATGCACGAAATATTTCTCCATGTTGTTCCATTTTGAGTGAATAATTTTTTTTTTTTTGTGTTGGCCGGGAGCCCCATATGTAACGTAATGGAATATTACTAATGCACGTTCTTATTTCTTTCGTTTGTGAAAATAAATTTTTTTTACGAGTTATATTTTTGTAATGATTATTAAACATTAAGTCAAACAGCTACGTTGATTGCGTCTATTTTACGGCCACAACGCATTTGTGATAACTTTCGGTGAATTTTGAAACCACTGAAAAAGTAATTAATACCTATATTTTTGATAATAATTTTGTTGAGCGTAAGGTCTATCGTATATAACTGAGGATGGATAAATACCATTTTTACCGATACCCATTAAAACACATACCTATCAACTCGGTTTAACCCAGACCGCGGTCTTGTAACATTAGCATTATCAGTAATTAACTATTTGTACTATTCATGTTTGTGATATTATTGACAATTAATATTTCATGTTTCTATTAATTTTATTTTTTCGCAATATCGGTTAGGACACCGGTTAAATATAACAAATGAACGAAGTGGTCGTTTGAATTCCGTTGTAGCTTATGTTCGTGGTAGTTGTAGTAAGCAGTGTTGTATATAGGTTATCAAAAACTTATCTATATATAATAATTTTATCTCAGGTGATCATTTTATTCAAAAAAGACGGATAAAAAGATACTTCAAATTATTTTTATCTATATAAGATCAAAAGATAAAAGCTTTCATTTAGATAAATCATCTAGACAATCCACAACACTGGTGGTAAGTATACCTCGACACAAATCGGATGAATAAAAAAAAGTTTTTGTTTTACGATTCAAATGGGAATACCAACAAATAATAGAGAATCTAGTGCTTTCGGGCGAAAAACATTATTCATGGAAGAAGACATAACACAGCCCGTAAAATTTGTAATAAAAAATATTCTACGAATAATTATTAGCCCATAGGCACTAGAAAAAAACCCATTTGTTTGTGAAACAATAAAACGTTCCCTCGGAGTTAAAATTTAACGGGAAACCAGATAAACCCACCCAGAGAAATGATAATACATTTAAAATAAAATGCGATGGAAATAAATAAGTAAATTTTTTACTTTGTACAACCACTTACGAAGTCACATTTTCTTTAAAATAACATTTTGCTTTTGTTTTGAATTGTACTGAGAAGATAAAGGATATGACATCATTAGCAACAATGCACAAAAAAAAAAATTTTAAATATGTATTAAATTATTTTAAATGTACACAACAAATCTAAACTATTCATTGATATACATTACATTTGAAAAAAACATAAGTGGCCAAAAAATAAATAATTAGTTTTCTTGTAAATCGATTTTTCTCGCATGAAAAATTGTGCCCTAGGATAAAAATTACTTATCTTAGCATTATTTTTGATTTCGTCGTGACCGATAGTTTATAAATTGTATGTTAATAATATATCGAATCACAGAGAAAAAAACAACATAGTACAAGAAAATATTATATTACACAAAAATATTAATTATTATGTATTTTGAAATTTGTTATCATCAATTTACGAATTTTCTTCGTACTCTTCTATAATTATCTTCTAATCTTTTATTCCGTTTTCTTTTTATTCAAAAAACATTATTAATCAAAATGTCGAAAAATAACGATGTATATACGATTTTTTTAACGTAGCAAATAAAAAAAAAAGTTTTTCCTGCCAACCCTAATATATATGGCATTCTTTTGGCGTGCCCTGAAAAAAATTCCTAGCGCCGCCACTAACATTTGCCCTTAACTGATCACTGCTAAAAATATACTTTCATTATAAGGTTTGTTTTCATTTCTGTAATTTACAGTTTAATTCTGCACAACAAAGTTTCTATAAATTAAATATTTTATTTGTTCAATTTTTTTCTGTATTAAGAATAAATCATGTTTGTTTATTTTAAACATATTTAGTTATTTGAGTAGCGAATTATACAAACAGTAAATCTATGAATTAGGTATATTTAATTAAATAATTGAAATTGTATAAAAATACATTTATAATTAGTTTTAAAACTATGTTTACAACAGTTATTGTTAAATATTTAAATATATTTACTGTAATTATTAAAAACTAATTTAGTTATTGGCTCATTTGAGTAAATTAATAATTAAAATATCTAAATGATTGATCCATTATATAGTATTAATATGCCATACTTCTAAAAAAAAATTATTGTATTAAATAAAATGTATTCAATTTTGTGTGTGGTAATAATATTTCCGGTGGAAAACTGTTGAACAGGTTAATTCCAGCATTTATTTTTTGTATTCATAAATTAATTGAATCATCGCAGACAAGATTTGTTTTAAAAAACAAATTGGGGTTAAGCAAAAAAACGGTAAATTAGATGAAATATCTTTCTTAATTTTTATATTACAGGTATTATTTATACTATTGTTTTTTGTCACTTATATTTTATATTATATATTATTACTTATATTTCTTTTTTGACATAATATTTTGTTTTGAACTGTGACAAAATCCATAATTTAAAATATTTTTGTGCTTAAACTATCTTTAATGATAATTATTGTTACAGAAAAGATAAACTATTGCAATCAATCTCAATGATAAAATAAAGAACTCGAGGAGCTGTTCCAGAGACCGAACATCGCGAATGAAATCAAGAAAAGGATTGACCTGGGCAGAAGAGTGGCGGAGAGTTGCATGGCGGAGAGTGGGATCCATAGTCAGAACAACAATCGAAGATAACCCGGTCGGTAAGAGACCACTAGGAAGACCACGCTTGCGTTGGAAAACTGTGTACAAAGGGACGCGGGAAGCATTGAATCAGAGATACCATGGAGAGTAGCGGCAGAAGATAGAGATAGATGGAGAGAAATTTGTTTGGCGGTATGGTCTCAATGACCGTAAACCAATAAAAAAAAAAAATACCAATCTCAATGATATTACCTATCTAATTTTTAAAGTATAAGTTTTGATGATAATAATTTTAGTCGAGTTCTAGTAAATAAATAAATCATAATATTATGGTTTTAAATAAATTGTATCCATTTGTAGTGACACGGGATTTATTCTATTGTATAACCTCTTTCGGAGGAAAAAATACAATATACAATATACTACGTAACTATAATTATAAATTCAAACATATATATTTTGTATTGTACAATATTAAAAAAAATTTTATCAAAAATCAAATCTTTACTAGAATATTAAAAATCTTAAAAAAATATAATATATTACATCATTAAACAAAGAAGTATTATTTATTAACCAATTAATTACAATAACCAAAAATTACACACAAATATTAATTATCTATTTATACTCTATATCCTTAATAATTTATAGGTTGAATTATAGTCTCAAATAAAAAAATATGAAGTTAATATGATAGTTAAAAATTATAAATCGTTATAAATATCTAATTTATTTTGTATATATTATTCTTGTTTTGCGTTTTCTATCTCCATGGTGGGCGTTTATTATTCTCTTTACCAAGATTGTGTCGTCCCGGAATATACACTATTTGAAAACAAAACAAAAATTAGAATATAAATACTTATATATATATATATATATTTATGTACAGGTAATTAAAATTCCATATGACAGCGATATTCTCAAACCTATAGAAATACAAGAAAAATAATAATTTTAGATTTTAAAATTTCATAGAATTTCTCTACAGTACTTTTTCTATATTATATGCTTCAAAACAGCTATAACCTTTTCAGGTGATTTTCACTGATCATCATATATAAATTATATAATACAAGATTAAATAATTCAAAATTTAAATTATTTTGTAACCCACGTTGTTCCAAAATTTTAGTCGGTAAATGTTCATAGAATATAATTATTGTATATATTTAAAATGCGATAACTTAATCTCCCTTCGTAACTTCTTTCATTTACTGGCATCTTTTCATGATAAATTTTTTTTAATTTTTCACAGAACGCTTGGTTTCAGAGTCATACTTCTCGTTTCACATTTTTTCAAAAGCTATTTAGCATCAGAACCACAGTCCATTTTTGTAATTTCTACTTTTTAAACTTGACAATAAGTAACAACTTTTCGATCACTGCGAGTGCATACTGTTTTTAATATGTTCATATACAGTAGGATTTTTATCATTAAGAAGTAACCATTTGAAATAATATATGACTCTGTCAATCGAAAAGTATGATCATCAAAACATACGTTTAAATATTTTATTTAGTAAACCAAAATTCTTATAAATATATATATTCATATAACTATTTCAATGAATTTTTTTTGTTTGAAAAATATTCTTTTCTTAAAACATTTAATGCTTACATATTTTCTACATTACCAACTCAATAATTAGGTATTTAGACACTATATATTTTTTTTTTTTTTAATTTAAGTGTAATTTTTTATACTAATCGTTTTATATCATTATATGTATACATAATTAAAATATATGATACATGATTTATCATAAAATACATACTTGTTTTACGGCGATTGTTTTCAGGCGTATTCGACGTAGAAATCGAATTCTGCATGTCTAAAATAAGTTTTCCCAAATACGGACACCGCTCCGGATTTTTGATTATGAACTTTCGGCACATTGGGCACGTGCGTTTGGTAGATAACCAATCCTTGAGGCATTTGTAACAAAATACATGTTTGCATTCCAATACAGATGGCTATTAAAATGTTGAATAACAATAAAAGAAATTGTTTAGTTAGTGAAATTAAGTGTTTAATTTTTAAATATATTTCCATTAATCATTAGTCGAAAACGAGCAATTAAAATTTATATATTTCAAATATATAGTAGAGAGAAAACATTATATGTAAAACATGACGCATATAATAAGCATTTATAAATCAATTTGTACACATTTTACGTGTAATTAATTTAATTTCTGAGCTAAAAAAGTATTATTTATTAAAAATTACTAAATAATTATTTAAAAATTCCATTAGTGCACTTACTGAATTCCACTAACGACCTGCCAACTCGACAAATTTTTAAAAATAAAATGAATATTTTATGGGCTTACTATAGTGTAGTTGGTGTATACACTTTAAGTGTTTTCATTTTTCGATTTTATATTTAATTTTAGTTTTTAGAAAGTATTTTTTTTTACAGTTTATAAGAAAAATAAATGCTATAAAAAGATTAATACATGTCCTATCATAATATTTATATTACTTTCGAATATTATTTAATAAAAATATTTTCTGTTATAATATTAAACAAATTATGTAATAAAAAGAAAATCATTTTAAGTTATAATCTTAAAAATATTTTTGATTTTAAAATATGTTAAAATAGCGTGATAAATAATTATCATTGTAATGCATTTTGAACATTATGTTTAGTAATATGATTTTAACTAAAACCTACTCTAGTTTCGTAACCAAAAACAATCTGAATCTTACGATGGTTGCATTATAGATATCTTCTACACTCAAAGGTATCAATAAAATATATATATATATTGATTTTAACAGTAAACTTATTGGCCATAGTTATTAAGTTTTTAAAAATACAGCTATATATAGATGTTAAAGCTTCATTCCGTAGATCAAATACAAGCAGGGCTTAAAGTAGAGGGGATGCAAGGGAACTTAGTCCCCCTAATAACTTTCACAGCACTTTAAAGCGTCCCCTTTAACATTTCTCCAAAAAGTTTAATGAAATGCTCAACTTTTTATTAAAAATAATTGTACACAATAAAACAGTATGCTATAATGTTTTTTTAATATAATCAATTTAAATAAAAAAAAAAAAAAAACAGTTGAAATATTGGCTTTGCAATTTAATTGATGTCACTTGGTTAGGTTCTGCAAACAAAACTCACCTTTATTAAATATAAATTGTAAATTATATAATAATATATAATTTTAGTTATGTTTTTTAAATTTATTTTATACATATATATTAATTACTATCTGTTGTTTAACACAATAAGTAAGCAATTTACAAGTTTATATATTTTTACAGCACATAAATAGTTTTTGAAAAAAGATTGTTCACTAACAATATCTGATAACATTTATACCTATTTATAAATAATTATCTAGTAATTGTATGAAACTAATTGGAACGCTAAGAATGATGTACTAAGTCCCCTGCCCTTTTTTGTCACTTTATACCCTTTAACGTTTATGATTGGTTACAGTACATTGTACCTCCAATATTACACAATAAATGGCTACTTTATCAACGTTTTGATTCTGAGGAAACTAATGACATTTTATCGATATGTATTTATTGATGATTAGCAAGACAAATTTCATGCGTATCGGAAAAAAAAACAACACATACGAGTATAGGTACATCATTTTCTTTGACAACGTCTAATGAGCATACAGTGCCTATATTATAACGTCCATCCAAAAACAAGTTGTTGTAGATATATATTGTATAATGTAATAAATTAATGAATAATAACGTATTCAATCATACAACCATACGAATATTACACAATTGATTTTTTGTACGCGCATATAATAATGAGATATGGTTTGCACTTTTATGTTTTTTAATACATCCGTACGCAATTGTTAAACACATCGATAACAATCGTATTGCAATAATTTATTTCATTGGTACATGTTTAGTAATTTATGTTGCGGATCGCAGTTAAACGTCAACGTGCCTTTTTTAGCGCGCACGTGTCAACACGATTTGACTGCACACGTTCGAATCTAGATGTAATTTAGCGGTTTAAACGAGCACACACCGGTCGACCTTTTTTCAAAATCCGTATCGGTATCACAATTATAATTTTTCCTCTCCTTGTGGTCAATATTTTAAGTCGAATACACGGCATCCGAACCGTGCGCTAATAATTTATTTATCTTTCGCAATCGAATTGAAATGTCCGTCGGCGTGTTTTTCAACGATGTTTTTTATTTGAATTACTGCAGGACTGCCAGAACACGTGTATCTTGCAGCCGATGAGATACGTGCGGCTGTTCACATCACACGAGTTGTACAATGCGGCAAGTAGGTACGTATCCGCACGTCCGTCTACGTATAACGATATATGGTTACGGTCGTTCACGTAAAAATATGTGTAACACAAATCGCATGTAGTCCATAATTTTATAAAAACAACTACAGTCGAGGTCTTTTAAACCGCTTAATGCAACGATATAATGTATATCTTACTACTGAACTACAGGAGTTCTGAGAGTTATGCGGAGAACATGACGTTTACTTTTATTGGAGACAAAGTTTTCAGTTCAGTGTTTAACAACGCATTGGACTCGTTACGAATACCGCCTGGAATAAAACGCAATATAAATGTACATTTTATGCTGTTTATACCTATTTGTCCGACGAAAAAATCGTTAAAGACCCGGAAAAACACCTTGAATCCGTATTATAATATAATGGTGCACATAGGTCCATTAGGGTGGTCCTTAACTATAGACGAAAAAAAAAAAATCTATAAAAAATATATATATATATATATATATACAAAAATTAACTACACGTAATATTGAATCAATCGAACAAAGTCAACCCGTGTCTATTTGAACTTAAAGTTTGAACTTTTACAATTTTTCAAAATGTTTCAAGTTTTTATACTTATGTCATAAAGCATTAGTCAAATTTAAATTTATTATGGAATTAAATAAAACTACATTTAAGAAAATTTTTTTAATATCTTCAATTAATGGTGAGATATATTATATCTTAATATAAAATTTTTTTTTGACATTTCCGTGAATATTTTAAAAATTAATAATATTAACGTCATATTATATCTAAAATTAAATTTAGCATATGAAAATTGTATAATGAAGTTTAAACTGACAAAATAAATGTTTATAATTATAATATTTAATGACATAATATTATTGCAGTATTGATTTGTTATTATCAGGATACTTAATTTTATAATCTTTGATAATTTGAAGGAAATATTGTTTCTATTCTTCGGCTCTCGTTCATATACTGTTGTATTCTTCAATGATCTTTACTCCTCTTTTTGCTATATCATTAACAACATTAATATGGGGTATAATATTTGCTCCTTCATTATATGCAGGATTGTTAATCTATTCTTTTGGTTCATCGTGTAAAGAATGTTTATCAATTCCGAAACGTTCAAAAAATATTTTTGTATTGTTCGTTACAAAATTACTCAAATCCTTTGTAACTAAAGACGACACTTCATGAGGTTTAATTGATAGTTTTTTCATTATTTCAACTGAGCCATCATTTGAAGTTAAAGCTTGAACCATCTTTTTTTTTAAATCGGCAAATACATTATTATCGAAAAATAAAAAATTTATTGTTTTATTAGACAAATACCATAAATGTCTACAGAATTTCATCAGAACTATTTTAGAAACATCTATGTCATAGTAGTTATATACATCTTTAATAAAATTAAAATTTTGGTATGGTGCTGTAGCAACATGTGGAACCCCAAACAGTGACGGTGCTAGAGTTTGCGAGACCCTGGGCAAAATAAATGTTGGGTCTTATAATTTAGGTCTTATTATATTAGGTCTTTAAATATTTTAAATTCAGTTAAATTAGAACCACGGGGTCTTAATTATACGTAATTATATGTAATTCAAGGCACGGGGCCATGGACAACTGTCCCTATTGCCCACTCCCTCGCGCCATCCCTGGCCCCAAACCATGCTTTCGCGTAAATACGAATCAAAAATATACATATGTCCCTTATCCCATTTTCCTCTTTTATATTAAAATGAAACTGATCTTTAAATAATTATATTTTTAATGAATATAATGCTTTTGTCATCCACCTAGCATGATGAATAGCACCCGGTGTTTTTATAGTGATTTCATCAGATGGGCATCCTCCGAGAAAAATTAATATTAATTCTATTAACTCTTATATTTATCTTTAGGATATATATGATAACAAATGATTTTTTTAAACATTTTTAAAAAACAAAATATTAATGTGTCATAGTAAAAATGATTACTTATCATATTTATTTTGCATGAGCAATGTCAAATAAATCGTTCGATTTTGAGGTGAAAACGATTTCTTTTTTAATTTGACATTTAGTTCTTTTTGTTGAATTATTTTGAATTGTTCTCTATTCATGATATAATTTTTCAAGCTTAGATATATAATGCTGAATTTCTTGTACAGGAATTCTTACCTTTTCCCAAAATATTATTATTTCACATATAGCGAGACGAGTACTTTCACGTATGTTTAATTTAACAACTCGTAAATTGTAGAAAAAAATTAATAATGTCTGTTTAATGGACGGAAATGTACCACCAGTAATATGACTGCATTCTCTAGACTAGAAAATTTGTGTTATTATTTACGACAATTATCAGCAATACGATAAGAACTGATATAAATAATACCCATAAAAGTTGTTGTGATTTATAAAAATAGCTTTTGAAGATATGAAAAAAATTAAAGACAAAGTTATAAATAAGTAAAAAATACGAATTGTAATATACATATACGTTATAATATTGAAAAATATCGAAAATACGGTTTCTTAAAGACTCAAGTTAATAAATCTCACCAACAGTTGAAGATATGAGGATTGGCACTTGAAGTATTAGATAACTTTTTAAAGCAAGCGCAATTAAAATAATAATGGATGAGGTTAAAAAATATAAATTACCGATTGTAGCGCTTCAGAAAATGGCAGCGTGAAGTCAAATGATACGACCATATCCTACAGTAGAGACACGAATTCGACGTGAGATTTCTAATCAATGAGTCATTACTGTCAAAGGTCATTAGGTTCGAAGCGATAGATGTACGACTATGCTTCATACGATTGTCGATGCCAAACTATGATCTTATAATAATCAACTGCTCGCACCAACGGAAGAAAAAGAGGTTGAAGTTAAAAACGTATTCTATGAAAGTCTCGAGCGAGTATATGATACACTCCCTTGACATAGTGTAAAAGTTGTAATGGGTGATATGAATGTAAAATTAGGGCAAGAATAAGGCTATAGGCCAACAATTAGTAAAGAAAGCTTACACAGTATTTCAAACGATAACGGAAAAAGACTCATAAACTTCGCAGCATCTAGAAACATTGTTATCAGCAGTACTTATTTCCCAAGAAAATATATATACAAGCAAACATGTGTATCACTTGATGGAAGAACCAATAATCCGATCGACCATATAGCGATCGATAAAGAACACCAATCATGGACAAAAAACATCTATAGTTTCAGAAGAGCAGACGGTGATACGGACCACTATTTATTGGTGGCTTCCTTAACGAAAAAGTTCTCAATCAACTGGAGGGTGAGTAAAAACAAAAATAAAATAGTCTCTAAATATGGAAAAAACCAAAGACCCAATAGAAATAAATAAATATAGGGACATCATATCGGAGGAGATCAGAAGAGTGAATAACCAGCCATATGACGCAGATGACAGTCAGAAAACAAGATGGAAAAACATAAAAGGTACAACTGAAGTAGCTCCAAAGGATCTAAGAACAAATGGTATAGGTATAAAAAAGAAACACTGGTTTAATGACGAATGCCAAAGGGCAGTATTGAAACGTAATGAGGCGAGAAAAAATATGTTACAGAATACTACTCCCGAATCCATAGAGGAATATAAGCTCAGGAAGACACTAGTAAACAAACCTGGTCCATACTGTATTCACATAAATAGCATTAATTACTATTGAAATAATGAAAATGACGAGGATAAAATTATACTGCACATCATTAACATTTAATAAATTACGTACATGAGATAAGAACTCGAAGAAATTACAATTCGAAATAAAACGTATTTTTATTCGACAAAAATATCTTCAACAATATATTATTTAATAGTTTTAAATATGTATACAGCCAGACGTGCAAATAAGATTTACATTTGAAAATTATTATTCTTTATCCAAGTGCGGATTCTCTTGAGTGCTGTTAAATTTAAGAGCAGACGATTTTTATACTACATCGCACACGCGGTAATACGCAGTAACAGCAGTGCTATATTGGAGATTATACGCGAGTATACATGGCAAATAAAACTTTTATTTTGAGCGAAAACAGCCTTTACATAAATAAAATTATTTTAGACAATATGGGGCTTCGTGTAGGTCGTATATACAGCGGTAAATAGATTATTCATTGGCGTCTTATTTTGTTTCGTCAAAGATGACCATAAAGACATGACATTTAAAATGCAAATAATGATTGGAATTTAAAAGAAACAATTTTTTTTTTCTTATAATACAAGATTTTTATCAAACCAATATCTTTAGTTCATCAGAAATACCATGTTTTTAATAAAAATTGATTTTTAGAAAACAAAATACCTGATACTCATATAAAAATTATTTAGAAAAAATAAAAATACAACAAACTTGATTTATATAGTTAAATAATTCGTAGTATATGTAATACAAGTATTTGGAAATTATTAATCCATCATTAAATGGTATTACCTACTATTACTTTATAATTACGGTTGTCTATTGATTATACATGTATAGGCTATCATACAGATTAAACATAAACTAATTTTTAATTGTTTTATATAATTTTTTTAATGCTAGAAAATATATGTTTATATTACATATTAAAAAAGAAAATATTTTTTCTATAGTAAATAAAAAACACTAGCTTTTTTTATAGCCAAGGCCAACGAGAGGATAGGGCAGGGAGGACTAGAGTTTTAGGGCTCGAACCTCTGGAGGGCCCATCGCCTCAGCCTTTTATTCGAAATTATTTTATAACCACAATCGCTGTAACATAAGATGCAAATTTGAATTTTTTTATTGTACTAAATTATGTACAAGTAGTACTCGTATATCTTAGCTAAACAATTGTTTATAAAAGGATCCTGGAATCTATCAACCCTGGGGTCCTCAAAAGTTCTCCAATGGTCCGGTGTGTAGTTAACATTAACCCATAAAGAATATTATATATTATAATGGTAAACTGACAGACGAATAAATTGTGTAATTCTAATTTCCTAATGTGATAAAACATTGACAAATAATAAAAGTGAATTCATATTTATAACTTACCTTTTTAAATGTATCTAAACAAATTGAACAAGTAAAATCACTGTCTAAAATTTTACCAACCATTTTTTTTTCAATTTCCAATGTATCTGAAAATAAAATTATTAATGTAAAACAGCTATGAGAATACTAGAAACAATAAGGAAAAAAACTAATAAATATGTCGAAAACAACTTATAGTTATATCCAGGGGTGGGAAATCGGGAATCTTCCCGATGAGCCGGTCCTTGTTTGGGCCGCTCTATATTATTCATATATAATTCCCAAAAAAAAAGTTTTATTTAATAAAATAAATAAATATCATTAAAAAAATAATTATATATTTAAAGATGCATTATGATCAAACTTCAAGTTCAAGTTGGAACTGATTAATCATGTAACTTACCCAAAACTATTATAGCTTTAATTATAGTAAAGTTATCGTAGATTTTACTAATTTAGGGATGAAACTAAACAAATTTTGAAATTGATGCAAAATAAAACATTTTTTGGGAGGGGGCAGGGCTAAAACAGTTGAATTTGTGATTCATGGGCCAGTTATAAATAAACCGTTATTTCATATTTTCTGGGCCGAAAATAATTGTCAATCCGACCCTGGTTATATCCAAAAATTGTTGTAAAATATTGCATCGAATTTTAATAGTTACAAAGTTTTATAAAAATGAATGATTATTATACTTTTTATACTTTTGAAAGTAGCCCAGTTTTACAACTCTTACAGTTTTCACGGTACATTATAATAATTTATATTTCGATACATCCATACATAATATTTAATCAAAATTGTTCAATCAAATACTAATTGATAGATATGGCGATTGATCACATTTTGTGTGGCTTGATTTGCAAATGTTATATTTTCAATAAAAAAATTAACAGACAAATTTTTAAGATGTTGAAACATATTTTATTTTTCACATACTTAATAAAAATAAATATAAAGTTGATTTTATTAATGTGTATAGAATATTATAAATTATTTAAGATCTAAAAAAATCTTCAGATATAGGACACATGACTCGACACCATCTGATTTTAATACTAACAATATCAAATATTATGTTATTCATGATTTGTGTGTATGTACAAGTGTTTATTAAAATATTGTACTGTTTAAATGTATGTAGTTGAAAAATACATGTTATATCAATATATAACATATATATATGTCCATTGATTATAGATAGTACTATCTATAATCAATGATATGTCTTATACATTTTTATTCGTCAATTTAGGTTTTATTTTTTCGTTTATTTTTCTCAATACAACACAATAGTACCATGGTACTGGTACTTTATTGTAATTCAATTTCAGTTAGTTCCAGTGTCCTCCAAGGCGATCATTTATCGCCTACTTTATTTCTTATTTTTATAAATGATGGATCCTTAGAAAGAAAAAATTCAAATTTACTACTATTTGCTAATGACGCAAAAATTTCAAAACCATTAATTATATATCAGACACAATCCTTTTACAAAATGATTTAAATTGTTTTCATGAATGGTATGCAATAGTATGAAACTGAATATTAATAAATACTGTGCTGTAATTTAATTTTCTAATAAAAAAACTAATGTACTATATAACTATATTTTATTAAATTCTGTCATCCATCGTGTTTATATTATAAATGATTTAGGCGTTTATCTTAACGTAAAATTAAATTTTAATAATCATATTGATAAAATAAGAAATAAATTAATATCAAAATTAGGTTTTTTAAAGTGCAGCTGTTCAGAATTTAGTAACGCATATGCTCTAGTAAATAATTATAATCAGGGCTCGGAAATTCTAGCAAATGCATATTTTTCTTGGTTCATCCTAGAACGTCCAAAGCAAGATACAAATATGTTTCAAACTATTTGGATATCATACACAAAATTTAATTTTGCCATTTTTTGCATATTTACGGGTTTTATTGCTCTTTTGCTAATTGAGGGTTTATAGTGCTATTTCTGGGTGTATTTTCACATAATACATTTTTCATCGACAATTTGATGTACTATTAGTTAGTAACTAAATACAATCATTTAATTATAAGTAAACTTTTACAAATATATTTAATTAATTTAACATTTTTGTTAAGTTTATAATTCAATCAGTCCAAACGTCTACATACCCAAATATTTGTAAAATTACATTTAATTTTTTTTTCTAATAAATTTATAATTTTTTCAACATAAATGCATATTTTTTTATTTTTTTTTTTTGCTATTTATAGCGCATATTTTAGAGTTTTTAAGTGCATATTTAAGAGCTTAAAAATAACATTTTTAGTGCTACAACTTCCGAGCCTTGATTAAAATTCATTGGTGCGTTCAAACCTAGAATATGTTTCCTTTATTTGGTATCCTAATCGAATTACACTAACACAACAATAGGAATCAATCTCTCTTTCCTACGTTTAATTTCTCACAAATGTAATATTTAAACACCTTCTCATTCATCATATGATGGCGAATAAGGTTATTTTTCAATATTTCAACTCTAAAAACTAGAAGAAATTACTTTAATACAATATATCTATAAAAATTAATACATAATAAGGTACATTGCTCTCATTTACTAGAAAAAAATAAATTATAAAAACTCAGATATAAAGACTCATTTTTTATTGATGATATTAAAGCCAATTATTTATTTTCTTCTCCAGCTAATATTTTAATAATGGCTGTAAATAGTATTAGTTAAGATTTATATTTTTGTTCAATAAATTATATAAGCTAGGTGTTGAATTTATAAACATTGTCATTAATATTTATATAAAATCAGATTACTTTTGATTATTAAGTACTTGAAAGAGTACTAGTTTATGTCTCTAAATTATATATAATGTTCTATCGATAAGGTTATGAATTTTGAATATTATTTAATTGATTATCATACTAATATGTGGATTATTTTTATATATTTTTTGTATGTGTTATTATTATGTACTCGTATTTATTATTGTGTTTTAATTTAGTATACTGATGTGTAACCAGGCCTGTCGTAAGACTTTTTCCACCTTAAAGCGAAAATTTTTTGATCACTCTTTATTACAAATATTACAAATCGGAATTATAATATGTTGTAATAATTTACAGTCACATTGAGCTGGTAGAGCTACGATAATAGTAAAGATGCATAACAGTAATTATTGTCGTATGCAGGGCCGGCTTTAGGTCTTTCAGCGCTCAGTGTAAGAATTATTTTAGCAATCCTTCATCTTAAACGACAAACATATAACTTAAACAGTCAGAATTTTGATAGCTGGAGTGGCTTCATTAAACATATTATAACTTAATATTTAGCATGTATAATCATAAATGCTCAAAATAATTGTTCAAACGTGCATATTTGCCACATATTTATAAATCATTCAGAGAACAAACATAATAATACTTGTAATAATGTAAGAATAGTTTATAGAACTGTAATTGTACCTAAAAGCGCGACCAATCCTTACATGTTGATGAATAATAAATAATGATAATTATAATAATAATCAAATCTATATTGAATCACATAATGATTTTTTTTTTTTTATTCATAGTAGATAGTTTGCGTCGCCAACGATTGATCAAATTTAATTCTAATGTTAAGGCCTCTCACGCGCCCTTCCGATTTTGGCGCCCTGTGCCGTCGAACGCGTCGATCGTATTTAAAGCCGGCCCTGGTTGTATATTGTCGATATTAAATTTTGCTACTTTAATTTCTTTAAAATTGTATGCTACCCTAAAGCAATGCATAACTTGCTTGTACTCTAGCGACGGGCTTGTTAGAACGTTAGTCACATACGTTTGCTGCTGTAATTGTTTTTTGTTTGTAAAGGGGAAACTAACTCCGTATAACTATAAATAAATAGCATTCGCCCTAAAATAATTAATAAACCTATACAAGTGTTATATATTGTACGTAAGCATAATACAATAATATAACACGTACAAGAAAAAGCAAGCTTATTAAAATACTAGTGTACTTACTATGTCATTTTTGTTTATCCATTATTAATATACAATTTAAAAATATTTCAAAATAAAATGTTCAATGATCATTTATTAAATGAATATTATATAGTATAGTATAGTTAATAGTAAGTGATTAATGTATACAAAAAAAATAACATTATCACCATGGTCGGCGGAAGGCGTGCGGGGCAGGGCCGGCGGAAATGGGGGTATGGTGAGTTGTCGCCCCCCCCCCCCCTGTTGCATTTTTTGTAATTATCAGTCGGCAATTTCAGGGAGCCGTTGTCCGTTAGAAATTATACTTTTTGAAAAAAAAATATAGATATATATATATATATATATATTTAATATAGGAACGGGTCCCGGCAGTCGGCAGTTGAGAATTTACCGATTTAGAAATCTAAATACTGCCGACTGATATTGTCGGCTAAGGAGTATGGACCTGTATTATAATACTATAACATATAACTGAAGATATAAAAAACGCTTTTACGCTATTTCCTCCTAGTTCTGATATATCAAAAGTAAGCGGTTATGATGGAAGTTTGTGTGAAGTTAATATATTGAGACAAAAAACAGATGATTGTAAAACACTAAATGAAATTATAGATATAAGTAATAAACTAAAACTATTATACCAACAGCTAATTATTTATATAGACTTGCATTCACATCACCAGTTTCTGCTGCGTCTAACGAAAGGGTATTTAGTTTTCTTAAATTGATAAAAAAAAGAAAAAAAAAGAACAACCATGCGTTTGAACAACTTACTTATACTCAACACTTCTAAGGATATACTCGACAATGATAAAAAATTGGGCAACTTTAAAAGAACGCTGTATAATTGTATAAATTTTGTTGGAAGTAGGTATTTTAAATAGGTATATATATATATATATATATATTTTTTTTTATAAGTTAATAATATGTATGATTATTTATATTTTACTTAATTATTTATGACTAATTGTTATGAATGTTTTTTTATTTTATTAGCTTTTACATTTTCAATTTATAATAAATTAATTAATTAATAAGTAATTAAACGTGTAACATGGCAGTGTAATAAACGTTTTTTATACAAAATATTAAGTATTAAATTTGTTTATAATACATAATAAATAATTATATTTTATACTTCAGGTAATCTGGTAATTTTTTTTTGTTAAATATGATGTGCTGCCATCTGCCGTCTACTAAATTAAAAAATTCTTATTATTTACTTAATTTTTTGAGGTATTGACAAACACTGATTGATTTATATTCGTACATGACTTTTTTTTAGATCTCAAAATAGTTCTGACAGCCTTGTATCTTTACATCTATATGAAATACAAGTAACAAATATTTTAACTATGTATAAAATGGTTTAAAATGTTTTAGTTCTATATTTTGTTTTTATTTTAACTATTTTACTTCACCTTAACACAGCAAAACCAGGAATTTTTATACTTCACGTAGTTTTTTTTTTTTTAGAAATTATGAGTCGGTATAAATTGAATTTCAGTCGGCAATACTTGATCTCATACCCCCCCCCCCCCCCGGACAAAATTGTATAACGCCGGCCCTGCGTGGGGGGCTGTGCATTTACACAAAACGGTAATATTTCAGGGGCAAAAATATGGCCGAGGTGATTCTCAATACTTATAGTTTTAAAAACTTTAAATTTTAAATTTTTCACGGCATTATAAACAGATAAACAGAAAATAACAGATTTCGCAAATTCCAAGGCAAGAAAAGTTTCAATAATAGTTAGAATTACTATTTTTATAATGTAAATAAAAATTACATGAATATACTATGTAAATAAAATAAATATACTCTAAGTAACTTTCATTTCTATTTTTTAGTATAATTATGAACATATAACTGAGATAATTTACTCATTCACACATACATATTATTTTTGCAGCGAACATACATAAAAAAAACAAATCATGGGTCATATTCATGTGTGTTGTAATTTTTAAAATTATTTTCCATAAATTATTTTAATTATTTCTAAATTATCTCATAATAATTAAGGTAATTACAATTTGTTAAGTTACATAAGACCTAAATATTTATATAATTGTTGTGAAATCCTTAAATTATTTATTCATGAACAAAAAATAATTGACGTTAGGACAGCATTTTAATAAATTGGTACAGGGTGGCTAAATTATTAACGCCGACCTTGATAATCACTGCGAATAGGTAGATAGTAAACTAGTAGATAGAAACGCTATTAAAATAAATCATGTTATTTTCACGTGAATTGAAATTATAAACAATAATTAAAAATACTTTTTATCACTATAATATTGTTAATTTTACATACTCAAGAAAATCATAAATCTATAAAAATAATTGTGCGAACACTTTATCCAAATAGTTATTTTACATCTGCATTGATGGGAAAAACCTAATTTGTGCTATTTACTAATCAATTAATTAAAATTGTTATTGTAATCAATAATAATCACAACAAAAATGAATATTTAAAGCCTATCGCGCAATTTTACCGATATATAATGATATTTAATGTCGATTCAAATTCAACACTCACCAAACCAATATAACCAATTTAATCTAGTCTATTAGTGGCAGGTACGTAATTTATTTAAAATTTTTTTCGCTCAAAAATATGTTCCACTGTCCATTCATGTATGTTGTGCACAGAAAAAAGTTAATAAGTTAATAATAAGAAAGTTATCGAACATGAATTTATATGTTGTATGTTCCCGCGAGAGACGATCAAAATAAATGCGTAACAATCAAAAGTTAGGTAAAATATAGGTAATGCGATGATAAATAAGTACTTAAAAACATAATAACAGCGGTCAGCTTACCGAATCACACTTTCGGCCTGCTTACACCTAAGTAACATAAAACTTAAGAGAACGTCGCATGTGATGTCTCCGTCTGACACACGTCAAAATAGTGAATTTGCATTCATCAGTTCAACTGTAGTCAGTGGTTTATTGGAGGGTATACGGGGGTACACGGCGTACCCAATACGCTAATTTTTGTCCATGGCGTATAACTCATAAGAAATTAATGATGCACGGATATACGACCATATCTAGCGTTTACAAGCCCATATTTGGGGGGGGGGGGGTGGTAGGCACATGCCCAAGGGCGTCAAGTCTCAGGGGCAGCAAAATATTTTGGTAAAATTAATTTTAAAATGGATGTACCCAATGAAAAAAAAAGAAAATAGTATGTTTTATTATGTTATAATTTGTAAATTATAAAAAATGAAAATTTTATGTTTTATTATGTTATAGTTTTTTAATTAAAAAAAGTATTACATGATTTTCATTTATAAGTTATATTTTAATATTATAGAATCTCGATTATGGACGAAATAATAAGTGTTGTATTATTATTATTTATTTTTGAGGGGGAGGCATAAATGATATGCCCGGAGGTGTCAAATTTTTAAATACGGCCCTGAGCGTATAGCTTGTAATTGGACAAATATAAATAATACAACTAGTACAACAAATTTATGATGTGAGTCGGTATCGGATATATTATTATTATTTTATATTTTTTTTTAATGAAAAATTCAAATTTGCTATCATTTAACAATAAATTTTTGTTATCAAACAGTACATACAACAGTATGTTATACTGTTGAATATTGAAAATAATTAAGGTTATGTAGTTCATGAGCGAGTTTTTTTTTTTTTGTTCCTATCTTATGATAGTTAGGTACTACACGAAATAAGGCGTATACCCATGATTTATTTTAGCAATACATTTACCTATAGTATTTAAAGTAAGGTAAGACTGTAAAGTAGGACTGTAGTGAATAGTATTATTAAATAATGACCTATAATAATACTGTAAGGGAAGAACATTATCTGTGTTTTGTCGATCGGTTTTTTACATTATAATTTTACTCTAATGTTAAAGCTACATTTGAACTACTGAACGCAAATCTGTTATGTTATACGTCAGACGAAGACAACACATGCGGGTGTGGCGTCCGCTTAATCGGTTCAAGTAAATCAACATTATCCACTAAACGATTGGAACGATAAAATTACGACAACATTATTTGTTGAATCAAAAAATGTAGGTTAAGATTTAGATTGCAAAAATATTAAGTTGAAGGCTTGAAAATGTCATTGCATCAAATGTTTCAATGTAACTTCGACTCACTAAGTAATAGTTTGTAGATTGTAGGTAGGATGTTTTGTCAAAAATAAGTTAAGTTCGTTTTCGTCGTGGAAATATAAATATATGAGTGTGTAAGACTCAAATAAGAGTGGCGTGAACATGCAGCCATTTTCGTTATAGCTACAAGTCAGATCGTTTTATTATACAATATGAATAATAATAATAATGTACCGATGTGTTAAGTGAAACGAGTAAAATTATCGTCGAAATAGGTCGATTACAGTAATAATAATTTACTTACTTATAATTGACTTACTTGAATCTTTTGGTGAGTCTGTCGAACGTTTCCGATTTGTGCCGGACATGTTCGGTTAATGGTTATGAATTATAGCCCAGCCCGACAGTAATGTAATCTTAGTAAAATCCATAAAAATAATAGTAGGTAGGTATGTAACACTCCGTATTTTCGGTACACGACAAAAATTCGGTCGACGGAACTGACGGTTGTAACGGATGATTATGTGCGCGCAATCGATGATGGCAAAGGGAGCATTTTGTGGGGAAATTTATAAGTAATATAATTATAAATATTACAGCACCTAGATAACGAGCAGCGTGTACCGCTTTATCGTTTGTATTGCACGTTCGCAATTATAATTAAAATATGTAAATGCAAGTCGGTATAAGACTAAGCGATTAAACAAAATTATTGGTTAAGTAGGTGTAGCCGTACAAAGTTTGAATGCGATTATATTTTCCAAAACCGTTTGCGTTATGATTTTTCCGTGAAGCTGACCAACGTCAACAAAATTGTTATTATGAATATATTAACATCATAAATATTATACCTGATTCAATAAATCTTACTTTTCTATATCGCAATTTTTTTTTCTCGAATTTTTGTAATGATATTCATATTACGCTAGAAAATTCCATAATAATATCATCAACAATTAAACCGAAGAAAACATAATACAGTCATAATTATAACTGTACCCCGTACTATATTATATTAATTTATAAATTAATTAATAATGCAACATTATAAAATTGTCTGATATCCATTTTATGCATGTATACATAATAACTGTCATAACAAAATATGTGAAAAACAATAATGTATTTCGTATTTATTTCATAATGTTAAATAAACAATAACAATAAAATGGAACAACAAGTCAAAATGACAATGCTATAAATACATACCTTTTTTCGATATCACAGCCAATTTGCCTCCAACAACGAATCTGTCTTGGACAGAATACACAGTCTTCTCTTGCAACTTGACGAGTATTAACATAAATTACTGTCTGTTTTTATTTCTTGTTGTGATGTGTTAAGTTCATTGCCGTCCTGAGGGCAGGACAAACGGGGCATTTGTCCAGGACCTTGCGTTTTAATGCCGGCAGTACACATTCGTCGAGACAGTCTCTGCAAGAATTCATGCTTGACGAAGAAGCAAGAGTGCATGCAGTACATTCTCGACTTACCTCAGGTTACAGACACGACTGGCACTTCGTTTCCTTTGACCCGGGCGCAAATATACCACCTTCCAACCGAGCACCGTCGAAGCGATGCAGGGCGACACGAACGCGTTTAATTCACTCTCGCGCCATGTCTCGGCGAATGTGTATTGCCAGCATAAGTTATCTACATTAGCATGATATTTTATATTATGTACGCATAATTGTATGCATTGTGCAATAAGAAAAATAAAAATAATTTTATAGAATTTTAACCGAATCTAGATTGATTAAAGAAAATATCGATGATTGTTTGAAATTACCATAGTAGATGATAAATATAATTATAAAACATACATATTGTCAGGTGCTTTAATATTTACTGTTGACTGTATGGGTAATTTTGGTGTATTTTTAATGTAAATATTTATTTCTCAGTATGACTATTAAGTCCCAATAACGACGACTTATATTATCTGTATACTTATATTATCCATGTAAGGTGTAGGTAATCAGAGCATACTCCAATGTTTTTATTTTTTTTATTTATAGCCTCATCAACTAAGATTATTGACTTTGAATATTTACTATAGGAGCGTACCCAGGATTTTTTTTGTGTGTGTGTGGGAGGGGGGTAAATTTTTTATTTTATCTGTTCTCTAATTATAATTGTAGTTTAACTCAATACCAACAAATTACTATTAATATACTATAGTATGGTTTATACATTATAGGTATATTATATAATTTATGAATTATGTATATTGAAGATAATGGGAAATTAAAATACACTAAATAGTATTTATTATTATACTATTTACTATTAAATCGTTTAGATGTAGAAATTTCAATGGGGGGTCCAGATCCGATACCCCCTCTTGGGTAAGCCCTTGATTTACAACTTTTAGATACTATACAATTTTTTTACAATATTTCAATATTATTAATCTTAATATGTACAAACAAAGAGAAAAGAGAAATATAAATAAAAAGGACAAGTGAATTATTAACTATTATATAAGATTATAAGGTATGGTTATTTTTAGAAAAGTTAAAATTTTGTTGGAGTTTTCACGATCAGGTCCGAATACTTCGTATAGATGTTCTGGTATGTTTAGAGATTCTGGTATCTGCATAATTGCGACAGTATAGAAGGACGTTTTTGACGGTTAGAGCTTCTCCGCAAGTTGTACAAAGGACAGGGTCTTCGCTTTTCATGAGGAAGCTATGTGTAAGACACAAGCAGAGAGCGACAATAATATCATTGGCATCGAGCCCTTTTGATTATATAATTCACACACTTATAAAACGATGATAATAATTTTTCGGCTTATCGCAGCTCATTAAAGAACGTATGTCCGCGTTAGTCTCGTGGACACCACGTATATCCGATTCGTAGTCTATTCATTACGACTTCATGATGTCTTTTGAAAAGGAATGATGTCCAGAGGTAAATAGAGAGTTTGATTTCATTGTGTTTCTCAAAACTGAATTTTGGAACTATTTAGTTCGGTGGAGTACGATTGCGCGCGTTTTACCTTTTTGAGCATACGATTGCGCGCGGTGCCGGAATAACAAAGAACACGCTTTTGACTATTCAAAAGCGTACGATTGCGCGTGAAATTGGATGCGACGTTGCCAACTTATTATTAAAATTTAAAATAATTATTATTATTAAAAAAAATTTGTTATTTGTCGTATATGTTGTTAAGTTAAATTGTATGTGTATTGTCGGCGCGGCAAGTGCCCAACAATATTAGAGGGCTTAGCTTGTTCGCCTTAATAATTATTGAAGGAATGGTATTAAAATAAGTATAATTAAAACAAATAAATAAAGATTAGTGTGAATAAGTGGACTGTAATATGATAAATATCTTATGTTGCCTGGTTGGCACAATGCAATAAATATAAATATAAGTAATGAAAAATAATATAAATAATGAAAAAGGGTAATATAAATATAACTAATGACAATTAATATATATTATTATTTGTATTATTTGTATAGTATATTTGGCAACGTTGCTTAGAAGCAAAAATAATTTAGCACGCGCAATCGTTCACCTAAAAAGGTACCGTTGATAAGGACCGCGCGCAATCGTATTGCAGCCATTTAGTTGAGGTATTAGATAATTGATTTCTTCTAGGAACCAACGCAGTCATATTGTATTAGTAAGTACGGTTGTATGGAAAAATAAATAAATGATAATGAAGCATAATCAACAATTTTATTTTAATATTTATCTAGTTTCAATATATTTGTATTCAAGAGCTTTGAATACTAATGTTGCCCAGAGCCTCGCGAAGGCACTGGTTAAGTTGATACCTATTAAAAGTTATACACCACCAAATTATTCTTGCATTATTTTAATCGTCAACATTATAAGTTCTATTTTTCATTCCATCAACAACTGATCGCCTACGCCTCACCAAATAAGAACATATAATGATACATATCCGAATATCTTAAAAAATTGTTATCAACATAAGTTAAATGAGACACGCAGTCTCAGGTGTATAAAGAGAAATTTAGCCAATATTTAAATCTGTATTCTCGATTCCGAAACTAACGTAATAACTAGGGAACGGATTTCATTGTATATATTTTTATTGGAATGAAATATTTTAAATCTGATATAAAATGTGTACGATTTAGATCATTCTAATTGAAATAATCTCAAATTTATCTTACATAGGTATTTTGGTATTAATACATATTTTCACAATTTTGGTAAAAAAGTACATATTTATTATAATTTTTATTTTTTTATTGATTTTTAACGACGATAAATATTATATTTGTCAACAACTTTTGACGACCTCCAAATATTTTGTTATCTAAATGGCATTTACGTACCTACTTATTTCTAGCATGATCATAAGAGATATTTTATATGTTATTTATAAACTCTATTTTTGATTCATTATATTTTTATAAAATAATTAAAATTACATAAGCTAGTTTTGTTAATTTTCCCATCGAAAACATGACGTGATAATTATAAATACCTAATGCCTTCATCTAACGATTATTGAAAATTATAGTAACGTTTCTATACACATACTTAAAATCGTGACATTTGTATATTCATAGAAAAGGCACTTAATTTAATTATATATTACTAAATTTAAAGAAAATGTTTTAGAAATAACTTCATAGTTTTTAAAAATTGTATTTAACAAAGAGTTAAAGCATATTACTTTTTTTTTAAACTGTTGTAAATTTTTGTAAATGTAAGATTAATATTTAAATGCTGCACCTTAAAATAAGTCTAAAAATTATTAACTAAATATTGGCTTAATATAAAACCATTGAGTCATCAAAAATCAATGTTCAGTCACATTTATAACTAACATGGTCACTATTTCTTAAACCAAAGCACCAGTTTCAAAGATAGTTATTTTGATTTAATGTCAAGATTATGGTAACATGCTTCTATCAAAAGTTTTAAATTAGGAATGACACTGGAATTTTCAATTCTTATGAAAAGTAACAAAATTAACAAACAAATACATATTGTAGTAACTTTAATGATTAAAACGGTAAAACACACAACTTAAGCTAAATATCTAACAATTATATATCTGACAAAAAAAAAAAAAAGAAGCAAACAAATTTTAAATTAGCACAACATTGATTCAATTTTACTAAAGTAAATAAAACCTCAAAAGTAACAATAAATAATAATTATTTCATTCAAAATAAAAAATAAAACAAAACAAAATATAACAAATAATAATAATAAAAATTCTTATAAAAAACACACAATGTAAATTGTAATAAAAATATCCCGTATCCATTTTTTTTATCAAATTAAAAACAAAAATTGTGATTTTTGCAAAACCAGTTTTGTGGGCTCATACATATAATATACATTTACAGAAGGCAAACAAACATATTGATACTTTTCTCAGAACTTAAAAACCATGATATATATAGACACAAATAATATTTGGTTAATTTAAGATTTATATATTTCTTATGATATAGTTGTTGAAATATTTTACATAATATCTTTCTAGAAAGATATTATATTGACTATAGAATTTAACTCGTATTTATAGTAAATGATAACATAACAATATTCAAAATCTTTCAACCAAACATATCTGATGTAGAAAATAACACATTTGTAGTATTCAAATACAAATTAATATCAAAGACTTTTTTTTTTAACTGTTGAAATATTCCGAGAATTATACCATTTTAAATCTGTAGTTAATTATAATTGTGGTAAGCAGTTCATACACCACAAAATTAATTTTTGTAATACAAGTAAAACTATGATTATATATATATATATATAGTTTACCACAAAAATATGACATAATAAACTAATGTATATTAGTTAAAATTATACATGAATAATTGGATAGTTATAAATAGTGTACAATAAAAAAAAAATAATAATATTATAACAATAACTAATAATTAATTTTAATGACCTAGTTAAAAACACAGCATTTTATTGTCAAATGTTTAAATTATCACTCTAAGTATTTAACATTTCAAATAATGTAAACTTAAATCTTACATTTCAATTTAAAATTATATGAAAAAAAAAAACAGTAAACTTAGCAAGATATTAAGAAAGAAACTAAGCATAATATTGAATATTATAATTAAATATACAACTAATATAACATAACAAAAGCTACATAATATAACAATATATATTTATTACGTTTATTGTCATAATTTTTAACCCTGAGGTCATTTTAAATAAAACCAATAAAGGGATATACCCTGTAAAAAACATATTTGTGATTTATATTTGTAAATGATTTATTAATATAATTGTTTTTATATTGTTGAGATATTTTAATAAATATTGATAAAAACATTTATTATATGTATGCAAAAAAATGTTTAAGTACAATCATTACTTATTGCACATATAACGTAATAGGAGTACACTATTTAAGTTTTAAAAATGTGTAGTTCAAATTTAAAAAAATAAGTCTTATTTATTATATATTAGTTATAATATGGACTTAAAAGTACATTACATAAAAATGAATGTATTGTACATAAACAATAAGCCTTACAACTCCCCAATATCTCTAGAATATAATTTTTTTAAATTAATACATGCTTATCACTACAACTTATCCATGTACATAAATACAACCCGTAAATGTAGAAAATTTAAAATAAAAATTAATGATAAATCATTGATTATTACACTGATTAATTTATTAATATTATGAATAAAACCTTGCAATGTTTGATTTGCTAAAGAGTAAAAAACATTAATGAGCAGTCATTTTTTAATATATGAATACATACATTAAAATTACAAGGATTAAAGTATCTATTTAAATAACTCATTCAAAATGAAAAGTTACATTTATTTACTTTACGTTTGTACTAGTAATTTTTTTTTTATAAAATCATATTTTTAAAATAATTATCATTATTTTAATATATCATTGGTACAGTGTTATTTTAACAAGTATCATTTTACATGAGGTGTTCAATTAAAGAAAGGTATGTATATAAAATATTAATTTTAGTGGAAGCACTGATTTTAGGTAATTAAATGATACATTATAATATACCTGTCAGGTATTGGAAAAAAAATTGTTAAGAAATGACTATGGAAATAAGTCAATCAATTTTAAACATTACATAAGGTAGTTTGCAATGTGTATAGTTAGTGCTATAGCAAAAAGACTATAGGGGCTTCATACCTTTCCCCTAAAGATCAAATTAAATTCTATAATTAAAATTTAAAATTATATAGTAAATATATAACATGGAGATTTTATGTAGCAAAATATTAACTATTGTGAATAAATATCTATTCATTTTTTTAAAATTATCAAGCAACAGAGAAAAAATTAAAAACAAATTTGAAATTCCTTTCATAAAAAAATTCTGACCATGAAATTTAATTTTTTTTTTTCATGAACATTTTTTCATTTATTTGAATGAAAAATATTATTTAAGTAGAAATAAATGATGAGAAAATAAAAATATTAATTGCTAATAGGCACATTTTTATTATAGTTTAGTCTTATGTATTAATAAGTATAAAAATGATATATTGTAAAATTTGAACAGATAATAATATTAAGACTTATGTTTCATTTCACTTAGAGAAATAATCAAAAGAATTTTAAATTTAAACGCAATAGTAAAACAAAAACTAAATACTGTGATATTTTAAATAAAAAGGTAAAATCTTATAAGATTTTTTTTGTTTGTATTTATTCACTATTTTATTATTTTCCATAGATTTTAATATTTTGATTTTTTTTTAACATATTTCAAAAAGGATTGTTGAAGAATTTTTTAAATTAAGAAAGTTTTCTAAAGATGCATAGAATCAAAACACCATTGTATTTAATCTTTCAGATGTGCAAACATAGTTAAAAATTAATTTCATGAATACAATACAATTGTAAATGTCAAAACTAAATTTTCCCAAGGATCATTTGAAATACTTTTAAATGTAAAAGATTACTAATCAAATGTGATATAAATGAGCATTTAATTAATACTTAAAGTGAATTTATTTAAATATTTCATCAAACGTTGTAACAATTTAAAAAAAATGTAAATATAGATGGGTCTCAAAAATATTTTTTATAATTAATTTCAAGCCGGTTTTAAATATTTATAATATATTAACATCATGCAATTCACAAATCTTAAAAGTAAATAATTTACAGTAAATAAATAATAGAAAAAAAATAAATGTTTAATTTAGCAATTACTGACCTTTTGGAAGACTGGTTTTATATAAATTTTAATTAAAGTTCAATAAGTTAATATTTATTTTGAAAAAACTTTCTACTAAGAATGTGCCATTAATTTATCATTTTATTATATTTGTACTTAACCATTTAAATATATTTATTTAGAAACAATTAGGTATAATTATTTTAAGGTTTTATGAAATTATTTATAACATTTAATCAAAAAAAAAAAAATTAAAAAAATTAAATTATATCCTGATACTGGTAACTGATTTAAAATATATTGAGTGAATATTTATGAATTATTTATCAAATCATTTAATGCATGCAATGATGTTCAATACAAATATTATTTCTGTCCATTAATACAATTCAAATTTATATTTGTAAGTTGAAATACTAATATTATATCCATAATCAATGATGAGATTTTTTTCATACATTGTACACAGTTTTTACTTACTTTACAATAACTGAAAAATAGATACATTTTTAAATTATTTTAACATATGTTATACTTAGAAGATAAGTAATGTTTGTTGCAAGTTTTTGATTTCATTATTGTTTTCAATATATGGAAGTGCAAATGTCAAGTATTTATGTTAAAAATTATGATGTATAATTCTTGGAAACAAAATCTTCATACTCTGAAAAAATGTAAAAATTAAAACATCAATTTTATTTAAAATTTGAGAAATAATCCATATGAGTTTGAATATACAACCATGTTTTTAGATATGCTCATATATGAGTTACTTAATCTGGTTATATTTTAACATTTATACCTTCATTCCCAACACAAATAGTTTAATATGAAATTTCTACCAGTCAATATCAATGTCATAGTAATTATATGTTATTAGATATAATGTCTTAAAAACTGCATACTTCAAATATAAATAATTTGGTTAAAAATAACTAGGTGGATGTATAAACAATGTAAAAGATATCATATTAATTCATAGGTAAATATTTAATTTAATTACCTGTACTTGAACCTTTTAACTTCAATATTTGAGGTATAATTGCATCAATTTGAAAACTACCCAATAAACTAGAAAAAAATATTTCTTCTATGATATTAGGCTGAAATGATCGCAGTGTTGGAAGTCGTAACAATAATATAGCAACACGATGTTCAACAGTACATTCCTTTACTAAATATTGTTTTAATTCTTTGACAGTTTTTTCTTGAAGTTTGTACAATTGTTGTCTTTCAATCGGATTATCTATTAAATAATTTACTTATTTTAATGTCCTCACTTAAAATTATAATCTTCTATTACACAACTAACCAGTGTTAAACAAGGATATTAATTTTAAATATGCATATTCTACTTCATTCATATCGATATTCTCCATTTCAGTAACATAATCTTGTATTCTGTTGAGGTAATCGATGAGCTAAAAATATATGGAAAAAGTATTTTTTAAACATTTAATATTTATAGTTTAACTTTTTTTTAATTGAAATATTTTTGATAAAGGTAAACTAATGAGTTGTAACTTAAATATTACAAAGCGAAACCAAAATCAAAAGTAAGGTACAAACCAAACTTTGTTCAATTAATATTTTTATTTGATTTAATAAATAATTAGTATCAGTTTAACATAAGCTACTGAATTTAATTACTTACCTCTTTAGCCTTAATAGAATTTGCTGAGTTATGAGTCATTTCGTTTTGTAAATGTGTTATCATAGAACTTAGTACTGGTATCAATGATAATACTTGTGAACACTGAGATAAACCCAAGATGAATAATTGGGACCAAGAATTTTTTAATAAACTAAGCTGTACATCAAATCTAAAATATTTATTTACATAATATTAGTTAACTATAGAACACACTTATTCAAAATAAATTTACGATAGTAGCTGGAACACTGGGAGACTTTGAACCCAATTTATGGACAAAAACAACATTCTCGAGGCACTTTCACAAATGAAATGTAGGTTTAAGTAGGCATATTTAGGACTAGGCGATTGAAATGGAAAGTTAACATTACCAGCTGGTATAATATCCTCAGATGTATCTATAGCAATGTAACTTTGCACTTCATTCTCATATGATGCTTCAGTTCCATTAGAATTTTGCTAAACAAAATATTATTGTTATTTATTTAATAGGATATTAATTTTTCTAATTTCTCTAAATAAGTTCTGCATTTTATATAGATTTAGAACTTTAAATACATAAATACATAAAACAACTACCACATTATAAGATATAAATGTTAAAATAATTTGTGATTTTTTATATTTTTATTGTAAGTCATTGATACATGCAATTTAAAAAATATTCAAACTTTAAATCTGATAATTTTTCTACTATTTAAATTAATTACAAATTAAAGTAACAAAAAAAATATCAAAACTATTGCATAGAATATAAATTTCTTAAATTGTATGAAAAAAAAAATAAAATAAAACAGTATTTAATTGTAGAAGAAATTAAACCCATATATACCTGTGTTATATTGGTCATTGAATCTAAAGCAAGTACTAATAGGCTTTTATTGTCTTGATTAAATGGTTTAATATCTTGTTCCATTTTTGGAGAACAACTAGCTGATGATTCTTCATCCTCAGCCATATAATAATCCGTGTAATTCTGATTTCTGACAGTTGAATCATTTTCATCTGAAAAAATAAAAATGTATCAATTATGAATGTAAATTAATATTTATAATGGATTTTAGGATTATATTATAAATTATTATCATTTAAACTTTTATGAGTTAATAGTAAATACTATTTAATATATTACTTGAAGATTGTAACATATTTATTGATGTTTGATCGTTATAGATGGAACGATGTCCAGCATATGGCATTTCAGTTTTTATGAAATGCATTTCATTTTTCATAAATTGCATATCGTTTTTTATAAATGAATTATTTCCATAAGAAAATGTAGGAATGTTATTATTATCTGGACTAGTAGGCATGTTATGGTTAGATTCAACTCTATCTGAAACTGGTTTTCTTTCATGTTGCACAGCTGTAAAAAAAAAAGATTCATCATTAGTTTATTCTTCTATAGGTATTACTCGTAACTATGACTTTATTAAATTTGTCTAATAATTCAATATACAATGATAATAGATACTTACCTTAGAACTAATTTGGAAGACATTTTATTTTTTAAATACGATGTTTTATTAAACTAGATAAAGTCATTAATTATTATACTTATTGTAATCTATAAAAACAAATCTTAATATTTTGTAATTCTTACAGTCACTTCTCATTCCCATAGATAAGCATTTTTGAAGACGACAATATTGGCATCGGTTACGGTGATTCTTTGTTACTTCACACATTTTAGTACCGCGACATTGATAGCCTAATTGTTTACGGATAGACCTTTTGAAAAACCCTTTGCACCCTTCACAGCTGATGGCTCCATAATGACGACCTAAACATTTAAACACTTAAATGTTAAAATATCTCACCAGGAAAAAAATTATAAAACCAATACATATTTTTACTAAAACAGTATGATTTTTACACGTTTCAAATAAATTATAATTAATAGCTTTTAAATTGAATGTAGTTAATAATAATTTTAATAACTTATCTGTTTCAAAATAAAAATGAGAAAAATTAGCAACATTTTAACTAACAATGAAAGCAATAAAATATTTAAAAAAATATAAATAAATATTTATGCATGTATATGTGTATTAATGTATATAATATATATGTAGTAAAAAAAAAAATATTATTTATTTTTTTTATAAATTTTAAAGTGAACTAATAATTAGAGTTTATTTTAAAATTTATAATTACTATTAATAAATCATATTTTTTGTTTTTTCTAATAATTCTCATTTACATAGAACAAACAATTCTAATGAGCATATACTTAATATCATAAGATTATTCTTTAACGTACCTGAAGCTCGATCGCCACAAACTACACATGACTCAACAGGTAAGCAAAAAGAATGCATTTTGTCGTTCCCAATCATGTCTTCAATATTCATTGTAATTTTTAGATATTAGATGATTGTTCTGTGGAGTTCTTGGTTTAAACAAGCTGTAAAAATAAGAACAAACTGCATTAGTTGAAATAGGTTATGCTAAAATATATAGGATACATTTTTTTTATATCATGATTAACACAGATAACATAAGTGATCTATAACCGATTAATAAATTATTATAGAAGCTTTTTTTTTTTTAATGTATATACATTGGGCCGGATTTTGGATTTGTAGGCTTTTAAGCTCAATTGTGGTATGGGCTCTACCAGAGGGTTTATAGGAAATAGGAAGAGTACATGCACAAAGAAAAAGACCAAGCCTTCCCCCCAACCAAGTTTTTATACTTTAACTATAAAAATCGTATAAGTGTTCAGAATGGACCTTCAGCCCTCTCCCCATCAATCTCAAACACTATTTGTGTCTACGAGAAAGATTCTATATTTAATATATAATCCTAAAAAAGAACAGTTTAATTCATTTCTAAATTATTTTCAAATACTTTTCTTCCCAAAATTGAGTATAGTACAACCTTCTACATTTTAGTTTTTTGCTTGAAAAAAATAACATTTAAATAAAATATATATAAAAAATATACTATTAAAACGCAGATTCAATTACTACATTGTAGTTAAGGTATTCAACACTATTTATTAATATTGAAACGGTAGTAATTAAATTAACTACATAATATATAATATACCTTAATAATTAATAATAACTAGGTCTAAAGGTTTAAACTCGGATCGGTTTAAGTCTTAAAATTTTATTGATAATAAACTACTAGTATCTTCATAATTTATTTGTAATAAATGTTACTCTCAATGCTAAGTTAAAATGTTGAGCTTTTCTTCTGTCATGGATATTTGGAGCCAATTTTTGATCAACTTTAAATAAAAACAATTATTATTGAATTATCAGAACGAGCTTTTTTTTTTTTGTTGTTGTTGTCTATTTAGCCTGCGCTTAAATCCGGCTCTGTATATATATATATTATTTTAATTGATAAATAGGACATCAGAAAATGTAAGGATATTATTTAAATCAAAAGACACAATTATTTAAACATAACATTAAATGCTAAACTAAATAAATAGAGGTACATCAATGATGTATAAAATAAGTTGAATAATTGGTAATATTATATTTTTAAGAAAAATATTGATAATTAGTACCTAAATGTATATAAAATAATTTCATATGAACTGAATAGAATAAAATAAGTTAGACACAATATCACATTTATTGTTTGACAAATATCTGATTAATTTTTCCTGTGTAGTTTTTTTTAATTTTGTATGTATTAGATAACAATAACAGACTAACATGACAGGAAATCGAAGGATAAAAGTTATCGATTAAAATGAAAAAATGTTTTCCTCCTATAATAATATAGTTTGGGCAATAATAGAACAAGTAGATAGTCGTTTATTTCATTAATGTTCACGGTTAAAGAGGAAAAATATGTAATCTGATGCAAGTAATGCATTTAAGTTTGTGCAACGTCTAAATGCTAGAAGACTGAACCAATCGATTACACATAAGCAACTTATCCCCAACATGTGGGTGTGCCAACTAAGAGGAATACAAAAAACTGGCGAATCGATAATGGACAAGAGACGGAAATGCGTGGACAACTGGAAAACAAAGAAATGGTGTTAGTTGTCACGACGAGTGATCGGCGAGCCGTGAGGTCGCCCGGTCGCCGATCTGTCGCACAGCGATGTCACTCACCGCAGGGGTCTCCAGCAGTGTTGAGGGCGAATGCCATTGCCCGCGAAGCAGCCGTACGCGCGCGAACCGCTGGAAGAACCGGACCGATGGAACACACCCGGACGATGGGCGGCGGCGGCGGTGGCGGCGGCGGCGGCGGCGGTGTGAAACGCCACAGCGGCAAACGGTGACGGGGAAGACGAAAACCGTGCAGCTGGTCGGCGCGACGATGACGGGAAAACAAAAAAAACAAATAACAACGCGACGTCTGAAAAGGATTTTCGACGACGGACGGACGGGAGATAGTACGCGATGATAAGCGATCGCACGGGCCGAGTGCGTGCGCGCGCGCAAACGAAAGAGGTCATCAGCTGGTGGCGAGACGCGCTCGAACGTGTACACCGTAGGAAAAGTGTGGCCACGGATTAAATGGGTTTTGATCTCTTCCGCGCTGACGCTACCGCCCACCCCTCCCCCGTCGTGGATGAAACGTCGTCGTCGCCGTTATCAATACGTTTGTTGCGATTGCCGTTCTCGATATCGTTCGGTTCACGACGATCGACGCGACGCGATACTCACTGCGCTCCAAGGTGACCCGTACACGAAGCGATAAGTTGCGATACGGTATCGGTATCGCGGTATCCCGACCACGACGGGACACCGACGCATGTTTTGCGGCCGGCCGATACCGAAACATGATCGTTGAAACACGTCCGTTCGCTACGAGATCTGTGCAATACATATGTATGTAATAAATATCAATACCGTATCGTAGCCACGTGTAACGCAACTAATCGCATCGTGTACGGCGTAATTAACGATGCGTGTATCACGGGCCGGGCGCGCATACCGGAGCGTTTCGTTGTGACCTCGATGGCTCGGGCGTGTCACACCCGAACGTCCGACCGAACGTTACGTTATGACGCGACGCTAGTGTACAACCAGATGTTCGCAGCTAATCGCGTCCCCGGTCGTATTATACTCGTGTATTACTCATTCGGTATTCGTTAATTGCTGAACGGCCAACAGCCGACACGGAGTAGTGCTCGACCCCAAACGTACGCATCGGTCGTTCGTGAACGTTCAAACGAGCACGGACTCTGTTGCGTTACAATGAAACGTACCGGTGTGTACCCGGAGTTAGAGAGCGCCCGGGCGATAACGAACCTACCCAACGAAAAACACGTTTCGTTTTCAGGCCACCGTCCGCCAGCTCCGTCACCGTGACGCGGTTTAACGAAACGAACCAACCGCTGTCGGTACTTGGTGGACATACGCTCCTCCTAATCACTCGATGTAACGTGACACTTGGATTCCGTTTCCTAAACCCTAAGCGGTAGCCAAGTACACTTATACTGGCAAGGACTTATGGGAGAGGAGGACGATTGTCCCCTCTTCCGCTTTTAAACTGCTCGAATTACGGTTAAATCTTCATTGTGCTTTATATATCACTCAAAAATATTTCCATTGAGCCCACTCTGAAGCTTTAGATCTGCCCCTGGCATTATACCTGGTACTGTTACTATAATCGACCAATTTTCACTTTCAGTAAACTGGGAAGCATCCCGGTTCCCGTACGTGCCAAGGCCCTTCAAGGATCGTGTTAGAATCACTGAAATAATGGTCCAAGAATAATAGTGCTGTTACTATTTTATGAACTCCACAAAACAAAGTTCATAGGATTTGAGTACAGTAATAGTGCTCAACAATCATTATTGGTATTATTATCTAATATTCTAATTTGCAAGTTAATAACTATTAGAATTGTATCTTTTTCGTATCAACTAATAGCAAACCATTAATCTAATGATTTTTTTTCTATTATTCATAGGACGAAAATAAAAATTTCTAAGGAATAACCAAAAATTAAATTATTGAGTACATTTATATGTATAGAAGTACCTCTCCTGTAAAAACCAGATACTTATGTATAAACATTGCCATAACTTTGTAAGCTGGGGGTTTTGCTCCCCAAATTTCATCACTTTTACGTATGGTAATAGACCTATACAATATCTAAAATACAAGGTAAAATACTTCAATGTGTTTTCTTTTTATGCTAAATTATTTTTTAAATTTTACTTAATTTTAAAATTAAATTTCGTTGGAGCTGTATTTATCTTCTCCCTCCAAGTTAAGCTAAAGTTATGAATAAAGTATTTAATTTTACAGTTGGTATAGTTGTCTATACATTTTATAGTAAACTTTATCTTTAGTACAAACTAAATAAGTAAAAACTAAATGCATTTAATAACATGTTGAACACAATTATTATTTCATAGTACAAAATGTTTATTGTAATCAAAAGCAGCCATGATTAACATAAGTTATTTAAAACGCATATCCATTAAAATTAAAAATTATTTATTTTATTAATTTATTAATTATTTATTTTTTTAAAAATTAAAAATTATTTAGTTCATATAAATAAATAATATCTAATAATAATAATAATACATTTTTTCTCGGTACTAATTTATAATAATAAATAAATAATGAGTACTAGTTACTAATTGAATAGAAAATTAAAATTATTTTCAAATAATTTAAATTAATTGAATAGAAAATTAAAATTATTTTCAAAGAACTACTAAATTTATTGAATAGAGTACAATATCACAGTATTTACTTTAAAATAAAGTATATTTTAATAAATTATATTTTAATCATCTAATTGTATTTGTAATAAAAAAATTATAACTATTTGCTGAAAGTTCCAAAAAACATTAATTCACATTAGATAAGTAGATCATATTAGTCTATCTACTACCTTAAGTAAATATATTATTTTTTTATCTTAAGCATAATCAAATAACATGATGAACAATGTATATATTATAAAACAATGCATATTTTCATTTCTTAAATTAAAAATATATACTTAACTATAGATATGTACATTTAATTACAGTATTAAAATTAAATTAAACTAAAAAAAAATCCAGTTATTTCTTTTTAGTTTTAAAAGTTAATGGACTCTTAAAACGACATGTAAGTCCCAGCGTTCTTAAAAACTTTTCTTCTTTGTAAATATCATCTAATTGAATAGCAAACATTTTAAATTTGATTTTTGGAAATTTATTAAATATTATTTGATCCAATTGTTTTCTTTCTTCTGTTTGAAGCTTTATTATCTTTCCACGTGTCATTCTTACATCAATATTTTGATAATCAATTGAACCACCAACTTCTTTAGTTGCTATATTGTTTTTTTTAATCAACGATTTTCGTGTTCCTACTTTTTGATTAACGTTTTTCATGGGTAATAGCTTTGGCTTTATTTCAGTCTTTGCTTCAAGTTTGTTACATATTTGGACTTCATTTAATTGAATATAATCTTCTAAATTTGTATAATCGTTTTTATTACTGCTATTATCTTTTTTATTATAAAACGGGTCTTCATGAATGACTGAATTTGGAAGGTTTTTTAATAATATACACAAACCACCAAGATCATAATTGTTTGTGTTCACCATCATTTTATGAGGGTCATTTAAATTGTTGTCATGTAAATTACTTACACCACTATAACCATTTTTTAGAAAAGATAAATTATCATTTTTATCTTTTTTCAGGGTAGACTTTTTCTTTATTTTAGTATTTTCTTTCAGCGATACAATTTTACCATTTCTTAATACTCTAAGATTTGAAGTTGATAATATCTCAGATGTTTTCATTTATGTGAAATGTGAATTAATGGTAATAGTTTACAACAAAAACTTTTGGACTTAATATGAGACTCCAACACTGTTGTTTGAAACGGTTTTCATCCATAAAATTCAACCTAAAAATATAAATACCTAATTAATAAATAATAAGAAAATACAAATGAAAATTTGTTAGGTAATAAAATATAGGAATATGAGAAAAATACTAGTAACTTTAAGGTTACTTTTAGTAGTTAGCTACTTTATATAGTTACTTTTAGCTTAAAATAATAATGACCAGAGCTCGGGACTTAATGTATATGCATATTTGTTCGGGAAGTAAATAGAATAAATCTGAAACGGTACAAATTGTGTTATGGTGTTTGGAGTTGAAGTTTATTGTGCATATTTTGAATTTTTTTTCTTCAATAGCATATTATTGAGATTTATTGATTTAAACTGCATATTTTAAAACAATTTTTGATTATTTACTCGTAAATCAATTTTTTTAGTTAATCAAAAATATTAATGTAAAATTTTCATTTTTGACACGTTGTAAAAATGTTAATTAGAAAACAAAACGCGCTGATACATTATTCATTCTAAATCAATTTTATCTATATGAATTTGTCTGCAATAATGCTAATAAGGCGATACTTAATAGCGTTACTCCACTTATTTTATTCGGGGAACTTATTTTATTTTTAGCTCTGAAGACAATTTTATTTTTATTTGTCTGTCTTTCACGGTAATATTTTGTTTATCACTACTCAGTAATCGACGAATCACGGACGACAATCATTTTCTTGTTAATGCGTTTTAGGTACCTATTGCGTTGGCATATGTGACGAAATGTATTCTTTTAACATTATACGATTTCATTTGTACGGTAGTATTCAATCTATATCGAAGTATACGTTTGAAAACATCTTAAAAATACCATGGCAGAGAATCGTTTGAACGGATAAACTCAGTTAAATATTCACAGGATAATTGAAATTATTCCAGAAGAAGTGTTGGATGAATTGGCAAAAAGAAAAATTGATATAGTATTGTAATTAGGTGATAAGTATCTTAACCTTAGAAATTCGAATATAATATTTTTATTTTTTTTTATTAAATAAACCCTCGGCAACAATGGCCATTGGGAAAAATACAAATATAAATAATATCTTAATGTACAATGGAGAATTACAACTTATTTATTAATTTTGATATTTTAATGAAAAGTATTAATGAGTCTGATGAATCTTTGGAATATAATATATATTATGTATTTTATTAATAATGTTTAATATTTAATATTTGTATAAACACAATAAATTGATTAATTTCGTTGTTTTAAAATTTGCTATATTTTTACAAATAGTAAGTTTAAATTTGCTGAATGCCCCCCCCCCCCACATAAAAAGTTCTTAGATGCGCACTTGAACTTAAAAATTATATTTTATAATTGATAAATTATATTAATAAATATAGCCATCATATACATATTTTATTTAATGTAGTTATAACATCAAATTTATTGATACATTTTCCCTATCCTTTATATTGTTTGCAATTTAATAAATAAATAAATGTATACTATTAATTATTAAAATAATATTAGTTACTAATTATTGTTTTATAATTAATAACTGGAAAAATGAGTAACCTGTTAATTATTCGATGTTTTGTTTTTCATTTTCGGATTTCAAAATTGAAATTTTGATAAACTTCTGGTCTAGTTGGATCTGAAAAAAAAAGTTTCGATTATTGAAATACTTGCATCGTCATAACTCGTTATACCTCAAAGTCTTGAGTAAAAATCTACCAGCCACATTTCATTATTGTAATTTGATTAACAATTAAAAAAATGTCAAATATAAAATTGATTAAATGATTTACAACTCACTTATAGAACATAAATATTTGTGCTAATAGTTATTCTAAGAGTGAACTCACGAAATTTTACAAACACAATACAAAACGACTGATTAGCCTCAAAAGCCAGAATTATTGATTCTTGATAGTGAAAACTAATACGTAAATCTACGCATGTGCTGTGCGTTGAGACTTGCGATTGAGTAATGGAACAATATCTCCGATGTGACCATATTATCTACCGGAATTATCATATTCTCGTAATAAACAACACTGCAACAGTGTTGTAAACTGACGATGTTTAAATCTGTTCCAAAGCCAGTTCAGTGGATTACAAAAAATGTCAGTATCGATTAATCTGATAAAATAAAAAATGTTCCTACAATCGCTTTCATTGAAAATTCGAATTTTATACTTCTTGTTGAAGAAAAATGACTACATTTAGATCAGGCATGTCAAACTTAAAGTATCAAATGGGCCAAATATATTGAATAGTTTACTACGCGAGCCGCACATAAAAATTTAACGAAAAAAAAAATTATATTATTATATATGTATACATATAAAACCATCAATAAAATTTACTCGATTACAGTATAATGAATATAAGACATAATAACGTGTATCAAATATAAAATTTTCTAAGAGTTTAAGATAGTTGCGACATGACTTTAATGTTTTATAATTATTTTACTATTCATTTTTATTTTGTCGATTGATATTAGTAGCCACGAGCCACAAATAATTAATTATGGGCCACATGTGTCTTGCGGGCTGCGTATTTGACATGCCAGATTTAAATGAACTCATTAGCTGAACAAAATTTGCGCAATATCATGTGTGTTGAATGTGTTGATATGGTTTATTTTAAATTATGCAATGCATTTGATTTTGTTAAACTGCTGTAACATTAAAATAAAATACGATAGCAATCATTTAATAACTCCGCACCAGAACCGAAGAGATAAGCATTATTATATCTATATAGCATTATATAATACATCAACATGATAAATATTTATAAATTATAAACCAAAAAACATCCATTTAAATTCATTAGTGATAAATATTCATTGATTTCACAGTAATAATTGAGTGCCAATTTAATTTAACGTACACTTGGTATCGTCAAATTTCGAGATTATCGACCAAAATAAATTATCAGAAAAAGGCATTTGGTTAATATTTAATAAAATAGCTGGCATAATATCTAATATTTGCTATGTATTTGTTAAAAATTTGGAACAGACCAAATTAGTTACTTATATTGATACTTTTGTTTACTTTAATACTTAGCATTATACAAAAACAACAATTTTTAAAGCAGAATCAACCATTCCAAAGTGAATGATTCAACAATTAAGAACAGCTGGAGAGTATAGCATCAAACGTAATGCTGTCTTTTGTTTTGTTTGCCGCATGCTTAGTACGAGTAATATGAAATAAATATGGATAAAACTGGATGTAAAGATTAGCAATAAGTAGTGAAGTGATATAGAAATTGATTTGGTGGAAACTGGTATAAATCAAAATATCATTTAGTAGAAACGGGTATCAGTTAAAAAATAAATTGACGGAAAAGGGAAATGTCCACTTTTAGTGCAAACATGTTACGCCCATCCTCAAGGCTGAGTAAGTCAATTCATTTTTTATACTCGTTGAGTTAAATATGAAATTGGGTGTACTGTTTTGTATTAACCAGAAACGTTCTAATGCCAATATGACTCGAAAGCTCAGGACAGTTAACTATAATCATTATAGTACCTGTACTATCCAGAGGGGTTATAATATATCGTTTCTTGACTTCGGCAATAGGTATTGTTCTCCGATTAAATTAAAAGCAATCATTCTTAAAAAATTTCTTTTGCTTTTATCAATTTTGTCAATGAAAACTGTTTAGCAAGGGTTCTAATTTAATGAACCAAACTTTAATGGGCGTATTAATCCAGGTTTACACGCAACAATAAATGCTAGCAATTTATCGTTGCGTATAAATAGGACATTGTAGCGATTTTTGGGAATTGGAATTGGATCGGATGATTGATGCCGACCGACATCAATTTCTGCGAATCTTAACAATAAGTCGGAACGTGTAGACATGTAGCAACCAATTATCGCTACAATTTAATTTATTTTGCATTGGCCGTTCATAGAGAAGATTGTGTTTAGTTCGTAATTTCGTTGACAGTTGTTTTTATTTGTATTCAATTCAATTGATCATGGCAGAACAAACACCTCGAGATTTCTCGAGAGAATTTATCGAGCTGTATCGAAGTTTTACCTGCTTGTAGCTTGTCAAGAGCAAAGAATACTCGGACAGGATTAAAAAAGATCTTGCTTATTTAGAGATGGTTAAGAAGTACAAGGAGTTTAATCCTTCGGCAGACAGACATACTGTTGTGAAAACAATGCATTGTGTACGGTATGTAAGAAAGAACTATCAAAAGTTAAGAATTTTTCAAAATCTGGAGCTGGAGCGGATGATATATATAAATCTAGTTTGTGGTACTTTGACCTCCTGCATTTTTTGAACGACCAGAACTCTGTATTATTAAAACCTACTAGGAACACAATAGATGATGAAGATGAAGAACTACAACAATATGTAAGTAAGTACTGAGGTGTGAATGAACCACGGTCGACAAAGAATATTGGACAAGAAATCGTAGCTTGTAAACAGTATTTACTCTTTCGATTAATTGGAACAATAAAAACGACGATAAATTTTCAATCACATCGTTACGATTTATTATTGTATGTTTACCCGGCTTTAATAAGAGCAAAACTGCTTCGAGCTGCTGGGATCAGATCGGAACTTTTTGAACATAATCAGAACATGTGTAAATTAATTGATACACGCACACATATCAGTCAACATCAAGACAAAACATAACATGTTCAGTCTTGATCGTTCAGGTTCTAATAGGTTATAATTTCGCTCCGAGCAAAATACAAAAACAAGTCACCGGTTTATTTTACGAAAAGTATACTACTGAACATACGTTCCTTTGATGTTCGACATAGATTTTTTCATTTTGAATATTTATATTATTTTTTTTATATATATTTGTAATATATACTTCATACATTTTTTTTAAATGGGATGCAATCCAGAAAAATTGATCAATCTTGTATTTTTAAGAAAATCTCTTTACGATTATACCGCTAAAGATCATAGCAATAAAATTATCAGGTAAGTTAATAAGAATATAAAAAAAAAAATAATTTTACTTTTTACGTGATAAGTAGGTACGTAATGTATTATTAAACTAATACTAACCTAACCTACTACCTAACTATATTTCTGTTTTTGTAATTAAAATTAAATCAAGAGTAAAATTTTTTTTTTAAAAAAATTTAAAATTGTATTATTTTCTGTACGTCATGCACCCAAATTTTACATTTACGTTTATTTTCATTTATTTCACTACTAAACAAAAATTGCCACAAAACGGTAAAACAACATCATCTTTGTCAGAACTCATCTTGATGACTGATGTAAAAAATATGTTGACTTGTTCGGTTTTGTTTTATCAGTGTGAATGGAATTTGTTCCGAGAAGCTTGGATCAGTTTTGCTTTTTTGGTGTGCGCCCGATTTTAAGGGAGGGGCCATAGGAGAAATCACTCCTCCTCCAAAGACTATAATGTACTAACCACGAAGATATACGTCATAGATACGAGTAAACACTTTATTACATATTATTTAAGCCCCAATAATTTTGAAGGTTATTGCCCCTCCTAAAAAAAAAAAAACAATAAATAAAAATAAGCACCTACTTACATGTCTATAATAAAATTTAAATTTGCACTAATTTTTGTTAGTTATATCAAATATTAAAGCTAAGTCTTGAGTATAATATGATAAATATAGAACAGGTGTGCCCAACTTTTTTCAACTTGCGGACCTTTTCAAAATTTATATTTACACTGAAGGCCGTATATACCAGTTCCTTTTGATAACATTTACAATTGATACATAATAGAATATTACCTTTAATCAGTAATCGAATTTATGACTGAATATTTCTATTATATAAGTATATAGAAGTATATCAGGATCTAAGAGAACTGGAAATAGAAGATTGGAAAGATGTTATCCGGGATTAAGGAAGATGGAAGGCCTTGGCGGTGGCAGCGAAGACTCTTGGAAAGTTATAAAGCCAATAAGAAGAAGAATATTTTCACGTTAATCGGTAGTAAATTTTCGTCATTCAAAACTGAAAGTAAAAATTTCCTGATGATTTTCCAAAACTAATAGAATTATAAATGTGAATATTTACATTATTTAGTTCTACTTATATTTGCGAACGAACGCTTTCCCGCATGAATTACGTAAAATGTTCAGAAATATCTCATTTGACTGATGAGCACTTATTAAGAATTGACATTTTACTTCAAATGTTGAAAGGTTGGTTTAAGAAAAACCAGCCCAATTATACACTAATTAATTTCTATTAAAAATTTTAAAATTAATATATATATATATATATATATATATTAATAAAATTAAAAATTATTAGATTTGATTTGATTTGTAATTCTTAATAGCTTATCAAAATAAACTTTTTTTTAAATTATAATTTTTATTTATATCTATAGAAATCTAATTTTATAAAATGGTTACTGGCCGGATCAGGCTCAAAGGTTGTGGGTTGGGCAAGTCTGATGTATAATACACTAAAAAAATGTTTTGTAGATAATTAACAAATATTTATTAAGCTGACAATATTTATTCATGATATAAGTATGGTTAGAATAAAAATATTGTCATGTACTGCAGTGGATAAATTTTCAATTTAATAAATCTTATTATATTCACTCAATAATATATATTGATAATTTTCAATATACATTTTTTTAAATCATTTATATTTTAATATTGGCAATGATTCTTAAATGATAAAAACAAATTATAGGTAATAAAAACCATACAAAAATGTAAAAATAGAAAACAAAAAAAATAGTTATTTAAAAAGGCAATATTATTATTACATAATTTTTTAACAATAGGTATTATTTTAATTAAAAATTAATTTTGATTTTATTCCCAATATAACTTAAGCTAATATATATTATTAACACTTCTTTTTATATATAATAATATACCTACACTGATTTACATTTTTTAGTAAATATTATAAATATTATACTATACTAAGAGCAACTGTGTTTAAAATTATACATTTACTTATAGAATTTAATAGAATCGAATGCTGTTTGGTAATTTATAGTATTTATATAATATTAAAACTAAAATTGATTAATCCTACTCTAATTGTATCGTATAACTAAAATTGAATATTAAACCTATTACTAATTTAATTTTTTTTATTATTAAATGTGTATGAATCTTTATATCACTAAGCTAATATAATATAAAACTATTGTATATTTTAATTTATTTGTACTTATATTTTATTTTTATTTTAATTTATTATTAAATAATGCCTGTGGGAAAATAACTACACAAGTTTAATAGTAATTTAAGTATTATAATTTATATTGTACATTTAATGTTAACTTTATTATGTTATAATTAGGGCTCGGAAGATGTTGCATTTGCATGTTTTTATTAGGTTTTTCAATTTATTGCTAAGTAAGCTTAAAATTATTTTCATGACACGACGAAAAACATATTAAAAGTTTATAATGCATATTTTTGCATATTTAGTGGTTTACCAATTTTAAGTGCATACTTCTTAATTTTTCCATTTTTAGAGCATATTTGATGATTATTGATGAATTGATAATAACATTTAAAAATGTTAGCAATAATAAAATATTTATTTTGAGAGTGTTCATAAGATATTGTACCTATCATGATTCTCAAATCCCAGGTTGATACAAAATGTCCAGTTTTATTTATATCTAACTGTCACAATTTAATAATTATCGTTGATTATATTAATCGGATAATTGGCAATCTCTTATCTTTTTAAAACATTAAAAAATATTCAGTAGTTCAATGCAATAGTTTTGCAGGTAAAAACAAAATATATTTCTTACTTATGAATTGGGTTCAAAGCGTTTTTTCTAATTTTTATTTATGCTTTACAGATATATATATATACCTAATTTAATGCAGTGGAATACACATAACTTTCGTAGGGGAGGATCAGTTGCAAACAAATTATTATGGGAAGAAAATTCCTAAACCTAAGTACCTGTACATTTAAATAATAAATAATAAAAGATATATTTATATGTATATGTATATATCAACATTTTTGTTTCCTTATAATTTCCTTACATTATGAACACTATTTTATATAATTTTAAAAAGGCCTATGGGGGATCTGAACCCTACATCTCCCCCATGTATACGCTCCTGATTTAATGTGAACATTTTGAAAGAAAATTTCAAATTTCATTTTATCCTATATATTTGTACCTAGAAATTAGGTTTAGCTTAGTATAATATACTTATAACATTTGTACTGTTGTTATGTACAAGTATATTAGTATATTTAGTAAAATATCTTTATTTATGAAAATGTTTGAGTTAAAAAAAAAAATTAAATGCATATTTTTAAAGAATATTTGTACTTTTTTAAGAGCATTAAGTTCTGAGCCCTAGTTATAATTAATTAACCTACCTACATTGTTTTATCTATACAATTTATATTTATTATATTTAATAACATTTTAAAATATATATACTTGATAACAACATTTATTAATTCAATATTCAATACTATAGCTTATAAGTCTATAGCTAAATATATAAGCAATTTGCATATTATTTTTTTAATTCAACAATAATAATTTCAATTGATATGATCAGAAAATTGTATTGAAATGATATACCTATTTTGTTGGATTGAAACAAATTATTGTATCAGTAACAAATCAATTTTATTAAAATGATAAAATAATAATTTATATATTTATGATTATTATTAATAATAATAGTCTTGATAACTAATATCTTATGATTTGTTTATCAAAAATTTGATTCTATCAACGAAATATTTTATTATATTGATAAAATATTTTGTTAAAATAATATTATACATTATTATATAATATTATTAAAAGAAAAATGTTTGTCATTTTTCAAGATTATGAATTAACAGTTTAATTTTGTTAGTAAGACAAATCTGTAAGCTGAATAGTGATAAATATTTTGTTGATCAAATTCACATTTTCATCAATGTTATCAAGGTTTTTTTCAGTGTATAAATTTGAAAAATATAAGAAATAATATTTTGTACATCATTGTACTTCAAATTAAACTATTTACGATGTGTAATAAAATTATTTTATTAAATTTAAAACGGAAATTAATATGTACAAGAAATAATGTAAGAATTCAACGGTAATAAATATTCATTATACAAATATATTTTATAAACTGTGAAAACTGAAATCAAAAATATTTCTTCAATAGTTAAAACATTTTATCTAGTCTCATTGCCCAATAAAAGATTATTATTGTTTTTTTTTTTTTAAGTTAACTATTAACTTAACGGTTTCTTAAAAAAATCTATACTTTTGAATAAAAATATTATTAAATTACTTGTAATAATAATAAGGTAATCAATACAGTATATATTTATTATACTATTTCATTAATATTTATAAAAAAAAATATTTAATTTGGATCTTAAGCCCTTTTAAATTTAATGTTGACTAGCAAACTGAAATATTTCATTAAATAATAATTTAAGTACTTTATTTAAAGTTAACTACTAAATTATATGCACTATGGTATTATGCTACAAAATACAAACAAAAAATGTAGAGTATTTATTAAAAATATACACTAATTTAAATGAAAATAAAAATAAATTAAATTATTGATTAATTTTGGTTACATTTTCACTAAATATTTTTACTTGATAAGGGATTTTTCCAAAAGTAAGAAGTATGATTTTCATATTTAACAATAAAAATTAATAAACTTAACGTAACTTAAATATGATCTATAAAATTTGGTTGAAAATTGATAATTATTGAATAGGTACATTGTAATTTGCAAAATTGTTTTTTACTTATAAAGAACAATTTAATTTAACTATTCATATAGTATATAGATATAGTATACATATAGTATATATATCTTTAGTTTTAATACAAGAATTACATTAATGCATTAAACATAAAACAAAATGAATTTAAATATGAGTTCATACATTTTTTTTTTAATTTTTAAGATTTATTTTTAGAATACATATACCAATTATTTTTGTATGCTTGAACAATATAGTTCTAATAAGTCTTACTTAATGAACATATTTTGAAAAGTAACCTATTAAATTAATTGTAACCTATTACCAATATACATAATGGTCTACTAATAATGCTATATTTTCTTGATTTAATGTCAAATAATATGAAATCATATTTAATTTTTGTTATTAGATTTTATAATATTTTTCATAGTAAATTAATAAATTATTAATTTAAGTCACATAGTAATCAGAAAACAAAAACAAATTTATTTATATAGGTCAAACCTATCATAGATTTAATTTAATAATGTCAGTCATATATCATTTTGAATGATTTAAATACCTTAAATTAAATCTAGAAGATAAGATAAAACATCTGTAAATGCTTAAAAATAAGATTTCTAATGCGCATTATTTTAGTTGTATATTTTTCAAATAATAATATGTGTTGAAAAAAATAAGCAGTTAGATGTTATTCATGTTTCTTTTTGAATTTTTAATATTTAATAAAATAATTGAATATAGTTGAATTGCAATAAAATGGTAAAAAATTAAATAAATAAAAACAGTAAAAATTGAATAATATTTAGGTTGGAAGATAAAAAAAAAACGAAAAACTTAAATTATTTGTCCAGGCATCAACAACAGATGAATGGTAATGAAATTATAAAAACAAGACAAAATACATACCTACACATTTCATTCCACAAGCGGTAATATTTCGACTAATTAAATCGATCCAATGTGGCTGGTGAAACGATAGGAACAAGACTCAATTGCGACGTCCCGGAACTCCTCAATCCCTGTTGGGACGAAACAATGAACTCCCATATTTTATCACGAGTTCTACGATTGGAAGCCATCATTGACGGCTTAATTTCGTCATGGAATGGTGAATGCTACCATTAACGCATCTTGATATTGAGAAGACTTACCTACGTAGTGAGAATTTTCATTGGGACATAATATTTTATTGTGATAACGAATTTGATAAGAATAATTTTTCTACACATTATACCCAAACCATTTTTCTCTTAAATTAGTATTTTCACATCCATTGTTTGCAACGTCTCGAATTCAATAATAGGACAATGCCATTATGGTAACTGAAGAACAACATTCTAAAAATATTCGTTTCCAACATTTGCATAGCTATACTTACAGCACAATACGAGAAAGGGGATCTATCCCAAGACTATAGCAATGGATCAGCTGATTGATTGCTGCGCATGACATTAAACAATTATGACAATTAACTGACGCACTATAATATTGTATGTACAGTTGACTTTAATGAAGATCCAAGTGATCCAAAAAAATAAATGTTGTTACAGATTTTCCAAAAGTTCACAAATAAATACAAATATACGAGATGGATTGGAGTTGGACTGGATTTTTTAAACAGCAAATAAAAAATATTGGTCACTGAACGTCTTGAATGTTCATTGCTCCGAAATCGAATTTGAAATTCGGAGTCCGTACTGTTAGGTTTCTCTACAGTCGATATAAATAGTACGGATAGAACATAATACGAATAATATTCGTCAAATATATTTATTTTTTTTCCATTTGCTGTATTCATGCCAGACACACAAACTAAGCATGTAATTTTTTGTCCATAGATCAGTAGGGTTAGTGGCGTAACTTCAAAATTTGGGCCCAGGAGCACATTTTTCAGCGGGAACCCCCCTCCCTCCACACCAAGGTGTAAATATTGAGAATATCTGAGGGGGGTACGCATTCACCATACTAAAATTATTTTAAAATATTCTTTAAATAGTAAATACATATCTTATTATTTTAGAATCATTTAATTAATAATAAATATATACTATTCATTTAATACTTAATATTATCGATGTACTACAAAATCAGTAAATAGTTACGGTTGTAATGAATAACAATTAAAACTATAAACTTAAAACATTTTTCTGGACTTCTTATTTGCTAAAGAAGAAATTATATTTGTTGTGTTCATTTCTTTGGCTATTTTCTATTCTATTGATAGTATAGCTAAACTCTAGAAACGAATTTGGGATATCGTACTCCGAACTTAGTTTTGAATTATTTTAAGTTTTGAAAAACTTCTTTCTGCATTTGCTACCGTCACTGGTATTCTTAAAAAAAGAAAATAGGCTATACATAAAATTTGCCGTTTAAATGATTGTCTACAATTATGAATTTTGCTAAGTAATACATGTGTAGAATTTAATTTTGAAATTTGATTTTTAAACGATCGTTTTAGTTGAATAATTTGGTTTATTAAATCTGTTGTTAAATCATTTTCATAATTATTTACTAAAATGGTAGTTGAATGTTAAAATTTATTTTCATTCATTGATCATAATTAATTGGTATTATTGAAACAAAACGCTTTATTATTTGGTTAGGTTAACTAGGTTAACCCCCTAAACTTTGTATAACCCCCTTTGTATATTATGAAACAAATTTTATATCTATTTTTGCTTATACTCATCAAAAATTAATGCAAATATAATAAATAATGCATTACAAATAATGAAGAATATGAATATTTTAAGGAACGTCTTACACAACAAGGTAAACAAGGTTTAAGCTCGTTCAAGTAGCAATAACATTACTAGTCAGTTCATCCACTTGTGAGAGATTATTTTCGGCAATGCGAAGGATCAATACATATTTAAGGTCTACTATGTCTCAAAACAGGTTCAATGAATTAGGTATACTTAATATATAAAAAGATATTGTTGTAGATGTTGAGGATATTTTAAGTGAATTTTTTAAAACAGAAAGAAGAATAAAACTAATGTAATTTACTATTTAATAATTTGTTGCGATTGAAGTATACACATTTAAATATTATAAATTGATGGTTTTGATTGGTAAATTTAATCTGAGCGTAGCAAGGAAATTTTATTTTGTAATATAAGTGCCAATAAAGTGTTCAATATAAACCTGAGTTTCAGCCCCCCTCAAATCTCAAACACTATTTGCGCTTATGCTGAAAGGTAAATTTTACAGGAGTGTAGCGAGACCAACTATGCTATATAGTTCAGAGTGTTTTGCAGTTGATAGGAGAATAGAACCGAGTACAAGCAGTGTTTCTTCTTGAGGGGGGACGCAGGGGGACGGAGTACCCCAACTAATTTTCAGAAATTTTAGCGTCCCCCTACTATTATTATGTTATAATTATAATACTTAACAAGTTTTGGGGGCGTTCTTTTTTTTAAAGTAAATAGAGTCCCTCTTCTTTAATTTTTCCAAATCGAGCCTTGAGTGTAAGTGTTGCGGAAATGAGAATGCTTAGATGAATGAGTGGAGTGACAAGAGAAGATAGAATAAGGAACGAATATATGAGAGGTAATAATGGTGTAGCGTATATAGTGGAAAAGATGAGAGAAAATAGACTGAGATGGTTTAGGCATGTAATGATACGAGAGGCAACAAATGCAGTAATTGTTATGAAAATGAACGTTGAGGGAAAAGAGGAAGAGGAAAACCAAAAAACAGATGTTTAGATACGATTGAAAATGATATAAAGGCTATTGATGTGTGCATAAGGGATGTAGAAATCGAGATGAGAGAATGTTTAGGATTTAGAGTAGCCGACCCCAAATAGTTATGAGAAAGGCAAAGGAGAAGAAGACTCTGTAGTATAATTTATTGTAGTAATATGTGGAAGAATAATGGAATAGTGATAAATATTGAAGGTAAAATTAGTTAACTTTATCAATTTTAATAGTTAGATAAAACAACATTTGGAGGGCGTAAAGTAGATTACAGATAGCATTTTAAAATTTAAATAATATTATGTTTATATTATTAAAATAAACGTGCGAGAACCGTTCACTGTACTTAACGCAGTGAGGCTTAAACACGCAGTAATTGTTATTGTTCATAAGATTGGCATTTATGACACTGTGGAGGTCATAAAACTTTATATAGCATCCCAAGGAATGGCCTTTAAAAGATATGATTGTAATATTTGTAAATCGTCAAAATAATAGGGAAATTTTGGTTAAAATGTACTAAAACTTTATCTGAAATAACCAGTTCCTTAATTTTATCAAATGTTCTCTAACTATCCCGAGCCCAATAAAACTGCTTATTTTTCGTTAATAATTTTTAAATAGGTCTCATAATAATCGAAACGTTGGGTAAGAATCTAGAATAATAATTTACCATGTCCGTAAATGATTTGACTTGTGCTACATTATGAGGCGCTAGTGCATCTACAATCGATCTAATTTTATTTTCGCATATCCGTAAACTCACCACTGAAATAACCTAATAAATGACCTAAATACTTTTTTAAAAAACTCACACTTAGATAATTTAACTTTAAAAACAGCTTTGCTTCAAACGTTAAATACCTTATTAAAATTATTCAAATGTTCTGCTCGATCTTGTTCAGTTATTATAATATCATCTAAAAAGTTAGCTACACGCTCATGACCTTAAAAAAGTTGTTCGATTAATTTTTGAAATATAGAACTAGCTGGTGAAACACCATATTGCAATTTGTGTACTTTAAAAAATCATTTATGGGTGCTCCACTAAGATCCTCGAAAATTCATCATCTAATTCTAATTGGTTATACGCTTCACTCAGGTAAATTTTTCTAAATTCTTTTCCTTTTTGAAATTTTTCTTCGATTATTGGTAATGGATATTTTACCTTCTAAACAAACTTATTTACCGTAACTTTATAATCCACACATATTCTAATTTTTCTATCACCCTTTAAAATCGGTACTAATGGACTTCTTCATTTACTCGACTCCACCTGGGAAATTACACCTAACTTCTCCAATCTACATAACTGTTCTTCCACCTATCCATTAAATGCGAAAGGAATTTGTCACGGTTTATGAAAAATAGGCATAGCGTTGACCTTTAACCTAATTTTGAATATTTCATACATATATTTATCCATACTGTCGCTAAACAATTTTGAGTACTTATTTTTTTATTGTTTTTGTACTCAGCCGACGACATGTGTTGTTTTTGACGAAATAGTCTTTTTTTGTTCTTAATCCAGTTGACTTGGACTGTCTCGTTGACTAAGTAAGTTTATTTGCAAGTGCGATCTCGAAAATTTGAGAAAAACTTGTTTCTTCTGTTGGTTTTTTCTCACTAATCCTGTCCTAAATTTCCCCGATTTTAATCCGAATACAAATTTATCGATTAAAATACTTTCAAGGTTGATACCAAAATTGCAATTTGCTGATAAGTTCCTAAGTCTTGCCGTGAAATCCGCAATTACTTCACCTTCCTGTTAACTAGTCGTATAAAAATTATTTTGCTCCCAAAAAATATTTATTTTCGAAGTAAAATGATTTTCCATCAACAAACACAATTCTTCAAAAGTTTTTTCTTTTGGAAGATCTGGTGTGTACAATTACCTTAGCAATTTGTATGCGTCTTGACCAATACAACTTAAAAATGATTTTCTTAAATAATTTTTAAATTTATTTATCTTAAGAAATTGTTCCAACTGTTCTTGATAAGACTTCCAACTGTTCCATCTACCATCGATATTAAATTGTGCCAAACTACCCAAATATGATGTCATTCTTTAATTCAATTTTTATCTTCGTCGCCAATATAATGTTTGTAGGTAATCTATTATTTAATAATACAGTAATTATTAACTCTAGATGGAATTGTAGGTTTAAAAACTGTGAAGCTACAAAACAATACTTTGAAAGTATTTTTCATATACTTAAACAGAAATTGAAAATTAAGCTGATAGAGAGAGATGTTAATGAAGCCATAGGTACAATAATATAATTTTATGTAAGCAACATATTTTTTCCATGTTAATATTAATTTTTTTGTGATATTAGTGATTTATAATTAATAATTAAATAAATATTACTATTATTATTATTTAAGAATACTTTCAACTTGCAATTTGTTGTGGTTTTATATGAATTTTATATGAACCATATATTATGTTCCATTAATGAACTCAGCAATAAATTACAAGATAAAAATGTCACATTAGGACAGACAGCTTCTGTAATTAATGGTGTTATAAAATCTTTTGAGAACTTTCGAACTTCAGAAATTTTCTATAATTTATAGACATTAATCCAAACATTTGCTTATGAACATGTTATTTCAGTTGGTGGTATCCAAACAAAAGGTAATTTACTTTTGAATTTTCATTATAATCAAATTTAATATTTTATGTTTAAACTAAAACTAAAAAGGAAAATACAACAACCTGTTTGTCTGGATGAATTTATTATTATTACAACTACTAGTACAAAATCTGAAGCTGAATCTGAACCGAATGTTGGGACTACGACAGCAGAAGATTATTTTAGAGCCAAAATATATTTTAAAGTACTGGATTCAATTGTGATAAAATTGAAAAACAATATTTTCTTTTGAAAATATGTTTCTAGATATTGCAGTTGATGAATTTATGAAATTAAATTATGTTGAGAGTACAAATTCATTAATTACTATAAGGTAATTCTTAAACTTCTTCTCAAATATTTTGTAAATTAATTGCAAATAATTGCAAACCAACTCATATTTATAATTTGCAAATTAGTTTAGTGTTTGTGAATTTTTGAAAGTTTTATGTCTGCCCCCTTTGAGGGTAATCATAACCACATTGATTCCAAATATATTATGAATAATCAATATTTCCAATTTAATTAAATATTATAAAAAATTTATATAAAATCTATTCTGTAGATGACTTTTATTAAGAAAAATTTTAGAATATATATTTAATAAATATATAAAAATCATTGATTAATTATAAAAACTTCTTAAATTACTTACCTTATAGGTATCCAATAATTTACTAAATTGAAATGCATTGTATTTACAAATTATAAGCATAATATAACGAAAAATGAATATACCCTTTATTCCTTAACATTCTATGAATTGCTTGTTCATAAAATAATAATTTTTAATTTATTAATTTCACGTATTGTTTTATAATTAGTATAAATAATTGGTCTTCTACTGAAATGTTACTATTGTTTTTATTTTTTTAATAATGCACTTAACAAATACTTACAAGAAAATGCTAGTTAATTATTCAATTTTCTGTTTGTAATATTGTAATAAAATCACCATGGAAAAAAATACTTCTATGACATTCTTACTATTGCATATAAGTATTATAAAAACCAATAATACAAGAAAAATAAATTAATTATTTATCATTAAATAATAATTAATAGGTACTGAATTTATGGAATATAAATGGTTTTCTTTGATCTGTAGATATACAGTTACGATTTGTTTATATTGCAATTTTCTATTGTAAATTTATTTAAACTTTTGTATACTCTTAAATGAATGGTATAAGTGAGATGATTCCACACTATATTAATGATAAAACACCTGGTGTAATCATATTTTCTGATTAATTATATTATCTAGTAAAGTACACCCCGAGTTAAAATACATAATAATAATATTAAAATAAGCTTCAAATACACAATCGATAATATTACTCTTGATGACTCATGACTGATAGGTTTCAGAGGATTAAATAAAATTTTGTATTATTCTGAAGGAATAACACTCTACATATTTCAATAAACACACAATACATTAAAACATATAATTTCATCTCATACTTTGAGGAGAGGATAGTCTATCTTTCTTTATGCCAATCTATATTGCAATATGGCATGGTAATTGGGTGGTACCTCTAAAAATGTTTTAAAACCATTAAGGGTACAACAGAACAGTATAGATCGTATATGTTTGAAAAAGGAAAATCTTAATGGGTCTTCCTTTTCAAACTATAAAGAATTTAATATGCTTCCAATTGAATTGCTCTACAAAAAATCAGCTATAATGTTTCTAAATGAAAAATATAGTTTTTTTTTTTTTTTTTTTTTTTTTATCTAAAACAGAATGATAAACGAATCAGGAAAGATAGATTATGTAATATTAAAATTTTAGTTATGAACACAAATTTTGGTCAAAATTGTATTAATTATATAGGTCCTATATGAATCTAACCTGTCATATTTAACTTTCTGTCAATTGATATGAAAAAAAATATTTTTAATGATAAAATTAACATAAAAGGTTATATCAACAATGTTTTATTTAGTGAACTAATGAACTAAGTGAGTATAAACTATAAGTAAATTTGTAGGCACATAGTATTTTATTTGTTTTTGTTTTTTTCTTTTTTTATAATACAGTGTTTATTAAATTTTGTTATATTAAGTAATCTGACTAAATTGCATGTGTGTATTGTTACTCCCTACACCACCACAAGCTTAGCTTGAAGGTGTAGGTCATTTTTTTATTTATTTTAATACTTTGTAATAATTTCAAATAATAAAAAAATCTTTCAAACCAACCAAATTTAAATTTTAAAACCGGTTGTGTTGTTATTTGTCTATGATTTCCTTGTATAATAGATAATTAAAATTATTCTACTACGTTGAAAAATAGAGTATATAGCATTAAATTATTACATTGAAACATTTTGATATGAATTAAATTTAAATCATAACTTTCACACCAAAAATCACAAGAAAGATAAGTATCTTAAATTAAATTAATATTTAATTTTGAGAAATAATATTGATTTATATCACAATAAATTATACAAGCTATTATTCATTTTGTTGAATATTTATGATATCATATGATAATGAAAAACTTTTTCAGTGTTTTTGATTAAATAAATATAATCGTTTTACTAGGCTGTTTAAGCATAAAAAAAGTTATAAGGATTAATGATATAATACATTATTATAATTGAATTAGAAATATAGAAATATATTTTTAATAGTTAATTTTACTTATTTTATTCTTCCAGAATTAAATTTTTTACATAAATCAATGTATATGACAAATTTAAAATGTATAATTAAATACTGGTAAGAATTCATGATGTTAACTGTTGATTGGTAAATTCGTTTTTGTCCTATTATTCACCAGGCATTTCACCACCAGGAACCAACTAAAATAAATAATTTGTTAGTCAACTAAAAACAATAATAGTTTTAAATTTATAATTTACCATTGTTATATTATTTCCGTTAAGCAATATTTGATCCAATTTGGTAACTCTTCTTCCTTCTGGAGTGGATTCATATTCTGTTACATCTTCAAGTAACATGTTGACAAAATCATCAAACCCTAACAAGGTACCAACTATTTCCTTGTCATTTTTCATAACGATATGAATCCTTGACCCAATACATTTATCTACTAGTTCTGAAACGAATAATATTGAACTATTATATAAAATATTACTGTAATTAAAACTGATATAATATGTATTTATCTTATTGAAGTTAATTTATACTGTTAATAAAAATAAACCAATACAAATATAATTTTGCTGTACTTTTTTAAAAGGGCAAATTGTCTTTTTTAAGAATAATATATTTAAACAGCACAAAATGTATACTCAACAGAGTAAATATGGTTCACAAGATTATGAATATTATCTCATATAATTAGAACATTTATTCAATATCAAATCAGTAATAATCTTAATTAAGTTCTAATAGTATTTAAATTTCTTGTTTAGTTAGGTATCTACTTACTATTTATATTTTTATTTTCTGAGAGAGAGCGAGAGGGGCCAATTGCTCCCCTCAAAAAATTTAACAGGGCAACGCCCCCTTAATATTTTAAAAAAATATGTATTTGAAAACTATTATCAAAAAGGCATTGTAGTATTGTAAGAATTATTTTCAAGTGAAAAATGCAGTATTTTAATAAGATTAACTAAAGAAAAAAAATGAATTGATCACTTTTTTATTTATTGTCATTTACCAAAATGCAATATGCTATCGCAATACATGATAACAGAATCTATTATCATAATTATCGAATAAAAACCATGGAGTAATATTACTCTATAGTAAAAATTACGCTAAAAATACTTAGTGAGATTAGATGGAATTGCCGAATAGAAGCTATTCATTCTGTTATAAATAATTTTAATTCTATTATTTTAACGTTAGAAAAAACAAATGAAACAAACTCTATTCATGGCCCTGATGCAAATTCAATATTAAATAATATTCAAAACTTTGAGTTTATATTTTTAAAGTAAATTAAATTAGTGTTTGAATTAACTAACTCCTTGTCACCACATTTTCAAAAAAAAAAAAAAATGTTTATTTATCTACTATTTCATTATTAACAGCAACTACTCTTGAGGAACTACAATCTCTACATAGTGATGATAGTTTCGATCAAATTTGGATAGAAACAGAACAGCTAGCTTCCAAAGAATGTATTTCACTACCTATAATTCCAAGAATAAGAACAATACCTTCAAGATTAAGCGGTGGTGAAACTTTAATTTCGAGAAACGTTGCATCGTATTTCAAAATTAATATTTATTTTCCTGTGTTAGATATAATTATAAATGATATAAAAACAAAATTTGCCGAAAACAATTTAAAAATACATAACGCTTTTCAAAATTATTTAAGCATTAGAAAAAACAGGGATGAAGATATTTTAGAAGTTTATAACACCTACAATATTAACTTTGATACCTTAAAGGTAGAATTAATGCTCTTCGGGAAAATGTATTCATCAAATAATATTGCTGACAATTTTGAAGCCCATTTAAATTTGTATTTGGAAAGAGACTTGATAGGCTCCTTTGATAATATTTATTTTATTTATAAAATTTTTCTTTCTATTCCACTGAGTTCTGCATCGAGTGAACGTTTGTTTTCATCACTTCGTCACCTCAAAACATTAACAAGAAACACCATTGACCAAGAAAGATTTAGTAATATGGCTATTTTACATGTTGGAAAAACTTTTAAAATTAATTTTAATACTATTATTGATCAGTTTGATGCAGATTCAACAGAAAGAGGTAGAAGACTTCAATTATCATAGACATCTTGTAAGGTTATTATATTAGAGTTAAGTTTTGATAATATTATTAGTATAATAATTACATAAACATAATTAATTGTTTAGTATAGTATTTATTATGATATATATAATAACTACAAATTATAACATTAGGTATATTATATATTACATTTATAATGTTAAGACTTACAGACATTGGAAATAAATTTCATTTTATGTAAAAATAAAGTAATATGTTAAAGTATAGAAATGCAGAATGCTTCTATTAAATAAACAATCTTTTCAAGCTTTTTCCATCATGCCATTTAATTGTGTTTTACATGCTACAATAAAGATTTAGCTTAGATAATATTATTATCTAATGCTTTCCAGTTTCCTCTGATTAAGTATATGTAGTCTCTAAGTATCTTTAAGTACACGGTATATCGTCATAAAATAAAGTTTGCCCTTATAAGAATTTCCCATGTTATGCCCATATCTCGGACACCCTTTTCGTTAAATTTGTAATTATATATTTGCCCTCCCTAATAAATTTCCAAGTTACGCCCATGGGATTTAGAACAGAACATTAAGTATATTAAATTTAATGAACTGTTGCAATAATATAGTAAAAAATCAGATTACATAGTTTATATTATATTCTTTATAAAATAATAATGGAAAATATTATTAGATAGATGCAAAAACATAAACATTTTTAATAACTATAAATTTTACTTTAAGATAAATAACATTTTATTTAATCAGATTACAGTAACTTGGGCAATAAAAAATTATTATGAACATTATCTTAAACATTTAAAAATTTATTTTTGTAATAAATAAGTTATTATATTGATTTCAATGTTACTTACCAAGGGGAAGTAATGTTGAAGGATTAGACGCTACAGATGTCGCCATCTTTTTTAAGTTATTATGTAATGCTTGAAGGCTTGAAATTAAATTTGAATTAACCGATGATAGTACATAGATCGTTCAATGTTTAATAAATATGAAAAATACACAATCTACAACTTGATCGATATCATGAATCTAAATAAGCATAGCAACAACGTTCTTACTTGGTTAAACATTGATAAGCTATCAATGTTATCATGTAGGGAAAATTATAAAAATGTATATTTTAATTTTGGATGTTATTATTATCCACATTGTGATTTTGAGTTGAACGTAACAACTTTGTATTTAAGTACCATAGAGCCACGAATGAGCACGGCCGGTTTTCGCCAAAAGTGTATCATTCCCTTTTCCGTTAAAATCGTACTTTTCCCTTTACCGCCAATTCACTTAGCCACCAAGTGAAATAAGTTAGTCCCGTATTTGAATAAAATATTGAAATATTATGCCTACATTTTCAATTAACTTAACAAATTACATATATATATATATATATATATATATAAAAAAACTATGATTATAATATTTATTTTTTATTTTACATATATTTTTCATATAGGTAAATGCAGTGGTGGCTCGTGGGTGTTCGTGAAGGGTGTGCCACAATATGAATAAGTTTCCGTCTGTTCCTGTACCGTTTATTTTTAATGTTATTATTTTATTATTGTCTAAATGCTAGTATACAATCGCCGTTTAAAGCACACGCGATCAAATAAGACACATATGTCAATCGACAGTAATAAAATTCCTTATCTCATAATCGGAAACCGTAATCCGTGGGTAAACTGTTCAGATTAGGTTGGAAATAAAAACCGGCCAAGTGCGAGTCGGACTCGTGCATCGAGGGTTTCATACAAACCTGTAGATATATAATTAAAAGTTCACCCATCTCGACAATCGAGTCATATTTATGGTATTTTTATTGGAAATACATAACAATATGGAAAGCTGGAGGAGCATACATTAAAGACAAAGGTGTCTCTGTCGTTTATTTAAGTTTTGATTCCCTTGCTAGTAGTTGCGAGTTTCAAAATATGCGGTATAAATGGTTGTACATTTAAGGGGCCGGTCTTATCACTTACCGAGAGGGGGGGGGGGGTAATGGATGTTCAAGAATATAGTTAGTTATATTTAAATCTTTATAAAATTTGAAATTACAGAATATGTTTTTGAGTCCCTCATAACTAGGTCATTTTTTTTCACAATAGTGACAAATTTTAAATACAGTCGGTCGTGATAACTCGAAGTTGAAGGGTGATAAAAATTCACTTAGGGATATGTATTATTCGAGATATCTAACTAATTTATAGGGGAAGAATTTTCTAAGGGAATAAAACACAATTCGAGTTGTCAAGTTTTTCGAATTATGGCGACTCGACTGTAGTTACATTATTGGTATACATTTTAATCTGAAACCATTTTAAAAATATAGGTATACACATAGGCATGCGCAGACTTTGTCCGTAGGGGGGGCTCTTAAAAAAAGTGAACCAAAGATTCTTGTACTAGAGACTACTAGTATAATTAAATATTTTAAAGTTTATAAATTATTTATTTAGAAAATATAAAAATAAATACTATTTAAACTTATACAATTTATATCTAAGAAATCCTTATTTACATATTATTATACTATTTACAACTCCATCCTTCTGTCAACGGGAGAAAAGTTTTTGAATGTATCAATTACATCTTCAATTATTATATTATATGCAAGTTCTGATTAGTCTGATTAATAACTAATAATTTTATTACATTTATTCACAGATATCAATTTTATACTATAAGATTAAAACTGGCTTTACTTTATTCATGTAAAATGTAAAAATGATCGCTATCTTGTATAGTATAGATATACATTTATTAAAGAAAAAGCCAGAGTCCGCAGTCCACCCGACCACCCCCGTGCGCACGCCTATGGGTATACACATATAATTAACTACAAAAATAGGAAAATATATGAAATAAGTATATTACATTATTAATTTTTCATCTGAATTGCTCATTGTGATAACTATCGGAAACACGTCTTAATTAATAATAATAATAATAATTAATAATAATTAATTAACACGTCTTAATTAATTATTTAATTATTTAAATGTTAAACACTAAACGATATTTTCGACATTTCGACGTTGATGTTGTTATGCGGCGATCATCGATAGCAAAAGGTAATCGTTATATGCATTGCAGTCTGCAGACCACGGTCTTAGATTATTAGGTCTGGCAACTTGATAATGGAATCCGTGCTCTTAATGACTGGGAATAGTCATGCACGTGTCACTATATAGCGGATTAATGTTTTTAGTTATTATTATTAACCGGGGCATTCATTCTGCAGCAGCTTTTCTACTGTATGTCTGTATTAAAAAGTACTAGTGGAGTAGGTTTGGATTTATTAGTGTACGTGTAGCGTTTACAACTACAACCTATACGGCTTTACACTCATCTAGTCAGGGAGAAACATGTCTAAGGGAGGGGGCGAAGTCATATTTTATATTTTAAAATATGTAAACTAACACAGAAAAAAAACATTGTAAAACCAATACACTCATATCCCCGCCTAAATCTAAAACATTAAACAAAAATTGCGCCAAAAGTTGTAAAAACAAGGGTTTATTGTTAAGTAATTTAACTTAAGTAATGAGTGTTATTGTAGATTATAACTTTTGGAGTTTTTTTTTATATTAAAAATCAGTTCGACTTTTAGTCATCATACCAAAAAAATGTGCCATATGCAAAATAGGTACAGAAGGAGTACCGACTTCTTTAATCACTCAAAAGTGTAGAGAAAATTGGGAATTTATAGTTCCAATTCCCTTATTAGTAGGTGATCGAATTTGTCAAACACATTTTCCTAAAGCTTTTTTAATAAAATAAAATATAAAAGACGGTTCAGAACAAACAAAATGTTCAAGAGTAAGTTTTTCAAGCTAAAATGTATAATATAAAGTTATTAAATATTACATAGGTATGATAAAGAACATAAAAACATATATAAAATGTGTTATATAATAAAATTATATATTTATATACCTAATATATATTACATTATTTTATTAACATAATTCTTTTTTTAACACATATTTTTATATTAAGATGCTTTTAAAACTAGATGCATATCCTATAGTTGAATTTGAAGGTTTAAGTAATAATATTCCTGATACTTGGTGCAATTGTTGATGAAGGCAATATACATACAAATCAACTGCCTTCGAAATCAAACAGTGTTGTAAAAAAACTGAATATTAGTCATGAGAATTCCTTTGATAATTCTGATAAATTAGCTCTGCCTATTTTGCCTCTCTCCCCATATAATGTTTCTGGAATGGTAAATAGTAACATTAATTTTATATTTTTATATTTTATTTTAGTTTTTTACTCACATATTCTGTCATAATTTTGCTTATTCTTAGAAACAATATGAAAATAATAGAACTCAAATGTGTAGTATTCCAGTTCATACACATTTAATAAAAGAGCCCAACCTTGACCATAGTAAAATAACCAATTCTATAAAAAATATTTTTGAACAAATATATTTAAATATGGACTCTGTGCGGTTTCCTTCAAGTGCAGACTCGTTCCTGGAAACAATAAAAGTGTAATATATAGTAAAATTTTATTAAGAGAAAGTGATTTAAAGCCTTACTTTGAGCGATCTGTAAGCATAGATGAAAAAGCAACAATAAAATATTCATATATGAATGATACAATTCCATTTAGTCATTTTAAATTAAATTCAAATTTGATACAAAATATTCAAGAACTAGAAGAAGTAATTTGTAAGATGGATATTTCTATAATGTGCGAAGGAGTTAATATACCAACAGAAGCGTTGAAATATAAAACAAATACTCTATGTATTGATAGTAATGGACATTTTCGACATATTGGATGTTCATTAATACTTATTGAAGAATTTGCTAGTAACAGATTAAATGACAATAAAATAATTAGGCAATGTAAATTTTGTAAGGTAGCATTGATTAGATGCCAAAGAAAAAAATTGCGTATGCAACATACACCTATTGCAAAACGTGTTCGTTTACTTTGTACTCCAAGTAAACTTGAAAAGCTTAAGTTACTTCGTCAGCGTAATAAATATATAAGAGAATTAAATCATCGTGCTAGAAAACAATTAAATAAATTAAAAAGTCAATTAAAAATCTGTGAAACAAAATGTAGTAATTTAGATGAATCGACTGTATTACAAAATTTAACATCCAATAATATCCCTAAAAATTATCAATTGGTAATAAAGGAAATAATAGCTATATCCAAAAGAAAGAGTCCAAAAGGTAACCGATATACAGAAGACTGGATAATGCTATGTATGCTTTTACACATTAAATCACCTGCTGGTTATTATTTTTTGCAAAATAATAAATTATTACCATTACTTTCAGTCAGAAGAATTAGAGAGTATTTGTCAATGATAAATACTACATGTGGATTTGATAATTTTTTGATATTTTAAAAAAACATTTAGATACTAAAACAGATCTTCAAAAGCATTGTGTTTTAATAATTGACGAAATCTCCCTCAGAGAAAGTGTTGCAGTAAATTCTAGATCTCTCACTTATACGAGTTTAATATATTTTGGAGAAGATGATGAAATGAACAACTTGCCAAAAGCAATAGGCATAAATTCTAAAGCCACACATGGGTTAATTTTTATGTTCCGACCCATAGCTGATAATTATACACAGCCTATTGGAGTGTTTGCATCCAAAGGACCAGTTAATGGACAAACTCTGGCAAAATTAATTATTAAAGCTGTATTGCTTCTTGAAAATGCAGGTGCTCGGGTCCATGGGTTTGTTTCAGATGGAGCTCAAACTAATCAACGAGTATGGTCTGAGTTTGGCATAAGTGGAAAATTAGGAAGTTCAAAAACTCATATTGAACATTTTGCTGACAGTAGTAGGAAATTTTTTACATTTTCCGATAGTCCCCATTTAATTAAATGTGGTTTGAAATGAAGGTTTGAGTAATTGTAAAATAACAATAGATTTTTGTTTGATCTTTAATGATCTATTTGATGCAAAAGTTCCTGTTCAAGGTATTAAACCTGGATCAAAAAATTATCAAGTTTGTTACATTTAAATTGTCTATATTTTTTGTTTATTTTAAATTAATATAATACATAAATACTCCTCCCCTTGATTGAACTCCAGCTATGCTACTGTATTTGATGATTGCTTTTGTCAGTTCTATTGTAGGGTTAAAAATGTGGGGTACATGGTATTCAACCTGTTAAATGTCTCATAACAACTAACAAGACTAACTATTATTTGTGTTAATTGTATGTGTATTATATTAATTTTCTCTAGTCAGTACCTATATATAGACATGAAAATTACTGTAACAAGAATTACTAAAGGTGCCTTTAAATTCTATCAAAGATATAATAAATGTAAAGGCAACTTAATAATTTCTAGATGAGGCCAGATTTATGTTTGTACCAACAATTTAATTTACATTTTAGATGTATGCAAATTGTATTCTGTGTTTGTGTAAGTGTTTGATTACCTATTCAATGTAAATCACAAATTATAATTTTCAACTTTAAAACTAAACAGATACTTCAACGTTCTCTGGACTGGTTGAACTCTTGGGAATCTAATTTAGAAGCTGAGAAAATTGAATCTCAAGATTTTTTAACAAAAAGTACAGCAGAAGGACTAAGAGTAATACTTACATCGTCTAAAGACTTATCTGCTTATTTAATTGATAAGTATAATTTCAGCTACCTTCTCAGAGGAGAAGTCAATCAAGATTCACTGGAGGTAATGTAACAATATATATATATTTTTTTTTTTTTGTTTAATATTATAAATTAAAATTTTTTTAGCGTTTTTTTAGTACGGTGCGAATGGCTTTAGGTGCAAATGACCATCCATCTACACCAATTTTTTTACAGGTATATAAACTACTTTCAGTTTATGCTATATTAAAACCTCCAAAATATGGAAATTGTACTGTTGATAATAATATGCCGCACACAAATTTTATAACTATTTCTGATATAAAGAATTGTTATGAAAACAAAGAAGATAAAACAGCAATAGATAAATTAAAAACCAAATTAAATGGTCTTATAAATGAAGGTGAATGGGAATTTACGGATATAATAGAACACGATTATTCATTGGCTCCAATTGTGGACTGCTTAAAATATTATATAGCTGGTATTTAACTCACCAAATAACTAAAAGAAGTTCTTGTCCAAAATGTAAATCTAGTCTCACAAGTATTGAATGTTTCACATCTGAGGCTGATCTGACAAATATAAAATCTAGGGGATGGCTGAAACATCCAAATAAATATTTGTATAAATTATTGAGTGTTATTGAAGATGAGTTGATGAACCATATAAGTAAAACAAGTGTTTTTGAAGATACAATAGAAGCGTTGATAACCAAGTGTGAAACGTTCACATTTCCATGTGCGGAACACAAAGATTTTATTTTAGCATACATTATAAAATATTATATCAATATGAGAATGCGTCAATGGACTAGGTAAACAAACCAAGAACAGCTAAAAGAAAATGCAAAAAAAAGAAACTGTCAAAATTTTGTAAATCATAATCTATAATAATTAATATTATACATACCTATAAATTAAAAACTCAAAAGTTGTTTGTTTTTTTAGAGTTTTTAGACTTAGTACTACCTTAGTCCATCAACATTATCCTTAAATCGTGTTAAACGAATAATTTTAATTTATAATACAAAATAAAAATTTTACATAAAATTAAAATCAGATAATATCTAGATCGTCATACATCACTGATAGATGGCAGTAGTAGTATATAAGAGTTCCCTGTCCCGTCAATAAGAGCACGAGTGATTACACGTTAATTTCATAGGATTTCATCAAGTTGCATAGGGCTGCTGCAGACTGTCGTTGGAAATTCCGATTATTTTTGTACCATTGGTGCTCGATTTTCGTAATAAAAGAAGATAACCAATTATTTACAAGTAATATATATATAATTATTACTAACATTATTAAACTAAGATTATAAATTATTCAAAATGGGCTCCACGTGGAGCCACAATATATATTTATTATTTTCTTAATAATATTTCACGAAATGTCAGTCGTTCCAATATCCATAATATCAATAATCCAAAAATAGTTTGAAGCTTAAATATTCAAATATCCATAAATAACCATATTCATCAATGACGATTGACGATATTTTATAATAATTATTAATATAACAATATATCATAATACTTGGCTATGTAAAATAGTTAGCTTAGTCCTATGGGGGGGGGGGGGCTAATAGCCACTCCTTTAAACCCACCTATGGTACATTTGCGTTTTTGCGTTGACTTAGAAATTTGTTTTATTTTCAAAACTTAGAGGCAATTAGACCTAAGTATTGGTATGAATTTCAACTTAATATATTTACGCGTTCATGAGAAAAAGGGTAATAAGTTTATAATTATTCAAAAAAAATATATATATGATGTAACTAAAAATTTAAGGTTTTCGGAATTTTTCCTATATACGAGTATGTGCTATAAAACATTGCTTCATTCCAAATTTCAAGATTCTAAATCGACTAGAAGTACCCTGTAGGTTTTGATTCCCTTGCGAGTGTCGAAAATTTGCGGCATAAAACGATTGTCTTTTGATTTTTTCACAGCTCCAAGGAACAGTAGACCTGAGTATTTGATAAACATTTCAGTTTGATACCTCGACGCGTTTCTGAGAAAAAGGGTCTTAACAGACGGACAACAAAGTGATCCTATAAGATATTCCGTTTTTTCCTAACAAGGAACGGAACCCTAAATATTATCATCGATATTTTTATGTTTGGACGTTGTAGTGTGTCGTCCATGTGTATTGAAAGTTTCGAAGTGAGAGAACTTTTCAAAACATATTTCAATCGTGAAGGATCAGTAGCATAGCAATTTATATATATTAATTACGTATTCACGTCACGACTGATGTATGCTCAAGTCCCTCAATAAAACTCATATTATTTACGGGATTGGATGGGTGATTAAGAAAATTAATTTTTCCTCACTTAAAATGGGTTCTGTTCGCCACTGATACTATGTATAGATTATATTTCACGATATAAGATGAACTATGTCGATAATTTCAGGTTCTAATGGTACATTCATTTATTGTACATGATATAACATTATATCAATGTCTTAAAATTATTTTTTATTTTACAAATCAAGAGACATTTCGGGGATGGGTTTATAACTCATCGACAATGCCACTGTCACCATCAATATCAAAAAGCTTTTGCACTTTCCAATTTTATAAACGTATTCTTGTACCTAGGTAATTAAGTATCAGTGGCAAATCAAGAATAATTGAAAATTAAAAATATTGACTCATATTTCGATGATCAAATAATGTACATTGTACATTCATCATTATCAAAGCATTCAAAATAAATTTTTCAGAGGCCACGAGTCATGTTTTCGTTAGTAATTTTTTTAATTTAAAAAATACAATTATAATTTAAAATTAATACAGTTCAATAAATTACTATTCTATTAAATACATTTTTCAATGTTGTCATTAGAGAAGAAGATAGAAGTATATATACATGAAATAATAAATATTATTAAAAAAATTAATTTTCGATTTTTTATTTTAATTTATATTAAAAAGATGTAACAATATAAATGACGAAATCGATGAATAATTGTTTTATATAACCTATAAACACACTAACACCTACACGCCATACCCATACATATATAAATAATTTTTTTTTTAAATGTGCACTTCGTTAGAAACACAAGAGTCGCCACTGTTAAGTACACTACTAAATTTAGTTAAAATATGTGCTTCGTAATATGATATAATAGTGAACAAAACTAGCAAAACAAATTATTATTATTATTAATAGATGTATATTTATGAAATCAACATGAAACATAATTATTTTTATAACATTATCGAGAAAAATAAATAATTATTTATTTAAAATATTAATAAATATAATAGTCAAGTTGATCATAACCAAACCGTGCGTTTAAAGCTTATCAATACATAATATGTAACACGTAAATAATTTCATCATAATAACATGGATATAGTGTAATTTAATTTATAAAAATAATACTATAAATTAAAATAATTTTCAGGTAAAATGATTTACTATAATAAAAATAATCGGTGTTTTTTAAGTTTTTTACAAGAATGTTATTTTCTTAAATGCAACAAAATAATCAATTTGAAATAGTATGTGTACTAAATTTTAAAATAGATAATTAAATTAAATTGTCATACAGAAAAATTAGTTAATTATAAAATCTACCAAGGCATTTAATTGTGGAACAATTTTATTTTCTTTCTTGAATTTATAGAAAACCATTTTCAATCTGACTGATTCCGAAGAAATATTTTTGGTAAAAATAATATACATTAATAATTCATAACAATTAAATGTACACACAATTACAATACAGCCTGTACTATTCATGAGGTAGTGTAATTCAATTTGAAGTACAAATATTTATTTTATAAAATACATAATAAAAGAATTAAAGAAACATAATTATGCATGTGATATTAAATTATTATTATTATACTATTAGGTAACAAAACATAGACTCAAATGTCTATAAGTGTTGCTTGATAATAAGTGAATTTAATTAATGTTTAATATGGCACTAATATCTAAAGTATGTTTTCTAGTATAAGGAATTCAATCTATATCATTCCTTTATAACTCAAAAAACCAAACTATTATTGCTAATAACAACAATGGTAATAAATAAAAATGAATTGAAAAAAAATATCAGTCAAACAGTGATCAACTATAATGATAATGCCAATACATCTTAATTTTGTTATTTCCATTGTCTAAACCTATGATTGAATGGTGTCGAGAACAGTGTATGTGTCCATCAATTTAGGTCAGAATTTTTCTTGTATGTTTTTAATTATTACACTAAAGTATTAATTAAAAAAAAACTGGTAATACTCCATGATTGATCTTTTAAACTTTAATCAAATTGCTTTCGATTTTGAGTGAAAAGGGTAGGGTAGACCAGTATTTATTTAGAATTAGTATATCAGATTAATCTAGTAGCTAAAACGAAAATATTAAGATTTCTTTTGATAAAGTATAAAAACTGGTCATAGTATAGGTTGGAATAAGTAAAATTTGAAAAACTAAAAGGGAGGATTAATAAAATTAAAGAAGGGTAGCAGGTATTCTGGACTTAATTTCATTCAGAATCTAAATTAAGGTTATTATTTAATTAGTAAGAATTTAAAATTGTATTAATAATATACAATTAATAAATCTAGTAATGAAACTTAAAATATAACAAGTTTTTTGTTAAAATAAATTTACAAATAATATTAACAATTAAAAAATACTATCGGAATGGCTTGCTGTTTAATAACAACATTTTCTTAACAATATCAATTTAATCAGCCAACGCACTGTAGATTTTTTGTGCTCGAGACCGAATTTCTTCATTTTTATGTTGTTTCATTAATACTAAACTTTTTGTGCGTATTTTTTCTACTACGTTGACACCATAAATATTGGCATACCTGCTAAACAAACTAATATATTAAACATTGACATTTTATAGTTCAATAAATTATAATTACACAAAAAATATAAATATATTTTCTTACATAAAAATTTTTACACATTCAAACACATCTCCAAATAATAGAATGAAAGTTTAAATTAATATTAGGAAATATATATATATTAAATATTAAAATTTTAAGAAAAATAAATATTAATGGTGAAAATATTTCTCGTGCTACATAAATAAGAAAAAATAAGTTTTAGTTTGTCAGTAAAGTTAGGTTTATTTAAGAGCACGATAAACTTGAGAAATAAAAACAACATTCATCTTAAAGGAAATATAAATTGTTTTTAGTTCTCAGTCTAATGATCTTATATTTTGTAGTCAAAATAAAAAATAACGTAAAAATCTGAAGATGAAAAAATAATTATTTAATGAGATAGTAAGACTGGACAAAATAGCTATGTGATAGTATAGTGCCAATAAATTTAAGGCTTTTGTATGTAAAAGTTGCTTATGTCAATAACTTACAATAGTATTTAAGAATTAATTATTTCTAATCATAGGTATTTCTGTGTTTATTATTTTAAATATAACAATAATAATATTAATTAGTTTAAACATACAATATGAACTTAATAAGGGTAATAATTTTGGATAAATTAAAATTAACTTTGTGAAATTGAGTTCACGTTGTTCCACCACGCCTGACTCTGTGGCATATAATGGAAACAAATCAAATTTTACGAAATAAACTCTAATAATCTTAAATACAAAAAAAAAAACTTGTAAATATATTAAAATTATAATCACACTAGTGCCATCAACACAAATACACTTCAGATTACATAAAAAATAAATATATATATATTAATTTTAGTAATTGAAATTATTGTTTTAATCTAGAAACTTTTATATACATCACCGTACAAATTTTGGCTCTATTATGTCATACGTTTTTTTTCATACAATTGTATTTAATTGAATAATTAGAATTCAAGTTAGAGACTCACACCATATTTATAAGAGTAAAATTTACATTGAATCTAATCAGAGTTATTTTAAAGTATTATAGTGTTAAACAAGATTTTTGATCGACTTTTACACTTACATAGTATCTGGTGCAGCAGCTTTATCTTCAACAGGCAAATCTAATACAGGATCCAATTCCATGGCTTTAACCGCATCAGTAAGATTACTAAATAAAGTTACAACTCTTAGGAGAATTTCTTCATTTTCATTTAAGTTTAACATAGATAATAGTTTTTTTGGAGCCTAGAACAATAGAAACAATATTTACTTTAACAACTTTAATATAAGGCGTTCATAATTATACTTAATAAATAGTGTAATTTAATATAGAATATTTATTGAGTATATTGTACCAAACATGGTATTTTAAATGTAGATTAAAAAATAGTCTCTTAGTCCCAAATGTTATTTTCACTTAAAAAATAATAAAATTGATAAAAAATAATGAACCAAATTATTTTAAAACTTATTTTATTATTACTTAACATTTATCAATAATAAATTACATACCTGTCCCCCTAAAAGATGTGGTATCATATCATCATTACAAGATAAGTTTATTAAAAGTTTTAAGCACTGAAGTACAACTTTTTTGTTTTGACTTTCTAATAAACCATATAACGTATGTATTGCTGGTTGCAATTCACTATGCCACATGTGAAAAACTGCTATGTTGGTCATAACAGACAAACAATTATAAATAATTTCATCTGAATCCATCATTTTCATCAAAGCTAATAACATTGGTATAGTTTCCTGTAAATAATATTTATTCATGTTAATTTAGTAAATTTATACTGGTAATTACATTTATAGTTTTACTGCTGTAACTACTAATGGTAAAATATAACAAGATAGAAATATTCAACTAAAATTTTCTAATAGTTAAAATTTTACTATCAGAAGTCTTTGGAAATTCAATAATGTTTCATTAATTACATTGGGTTATATTTGAAACTAGTGGTTAAAAGACATTATAAAGAATTAGAACTTAAAGAAATATACATTTATCATGGTATTACCGTTGCTTAATGTCTAATATTTCTCAGTTTTTTCTTAGCAAAATTAGCTCGTATGTAGATTATATTATTGTAGAATAGGCGGAGTTACAACTCAATACGCCAACAGTTAATTATATTGAGTAGAAAAACAGTTTACAAATAACCATCTAAGCGTAAGTAACTAATAATCCGAACAATATCAAGTACCTCATGTGAGCATCTCTGCCTACCATTCAGACCACCTTTGTTCAATGTTGTGGTCCAATAATCAGATGTATACATTTAACTTATAAAATTTTATATTTAAGTAATTAATATAATTGTGATTATGCTCATTTGATAACTATACATTTAATGAGGTTAACAAGCCATTGGAATCTTGCAACAGGGCTATAAATATTTATCAGGGAACTTTAGAGAATCTAGTACAAAGATAGCTATATCATAGGGATTCCACTAAACATCTGTATTGATGGACATTTGCTATTCTTAACAAATACTGAATAGTAGTATTACAATGATAAATAGATGAATTTTATATTTTTATTATAGCCAATGTTTATAGGTTTTTAAAATATTTAAAAGTTTAAATTAAAATTAAAAATAAATATATTCTAGACTCGCAGTTATAATTTTAAAAAAAAAGGAATGATACAGGCACGTGTGAATGATATTTCTATATTGGTCTTTTAAAATTGTAAAACTAAAATTGATAAATCAATGCTCAATATACTACTGTTATCGAATTTTTATTGATTCTGAGTAAAACAGTAAAATTGATCAGCTTATATTCCTAAAGATGGTTGATATAGTAATAGAACCAAATTTCTCAATAAAGAGTAGATCAGCACAAATTTTAATATAATATTTCAAAAATAATATAATGTCCATAATATGCTAATATTTAAGTACTTTAAAAAGTCTGATAATAGAATATTGTGAGTCAAAATACTAGATGTTTTTGAGTTCAAAACTGAGAATTTCAATAAATTAACTAAACCTTTTCCCCAATAAACAATTAGACACTATTTAATATTCAAAATCTTCCATAATTGTGATGATAGGAGAAATCTGAAGAGTCAAAATCATGTACACAGACAAAATAAAACAAGATAATAAAAATATTTATTAGATATATTACCTTCATTTCTTTAGAATTGTTTTTGTTCAAAGCTAAATTTCCTAATGCTACAAGTGCAGTAATTTGAACTGATTCTTCAGGATGATAAATCAGCTGCTGGAGTTGGCTCAAGTACCCAGCTTCTCTCATTACTTCCTAGAAAAAAAAAAGTTTAATGTACTTAGTATTGATACATATGATTATGTAATTTTATTTATTGTTCAGAAATCCTAAAAACATTTTTTATTTTTAAGTGTATAGCACAATTTTAAAATATAAAATTAAAAACATACTTGATTTGGAGTAAAAGTTGCTAAATTACTAACAGTTACAAGAACTTTTTCAAGTACGAGTACATCTCTGGATCCCATCAAAATTAATAAATTTTTTGCTTCATTAGGTTCCATAGGTCTAAAAAAGTTAGAAATGACATCAAATAAGATATTTGTTTTTAATATTTATATAACTGATTGAGAAAGAAATATTCTTAGTAATATTACCTATTTAACAAAGATGGTTGATTAATTTTTTCAAATTCTTCCATGTCTTGATTCGATTGACTTACAGAAAGCCTATGTTCACCTGGTTGGGGCGATTTTCTTCTTAATGATCTATTGGAACTTTTTCTTCTTAATGGTGTACCAAAATTTGATTCCAAAGCATAGTTATCAAATGATCTTAAATTTTCAGTTGATCGACTTCCTAATATATGTGTAGCATCGACTGGGCTCATTATTCTAGGAGAGTTCCAAGGTGATGCCTAAAAGTCACAAGCTTATTTTAAAAATAATTTTTTTTTTTTGGATAAAACAAATATGGCTTCATTATTTTGAGTAATAATCAAATCATATCTCATGGTACTAATTAATTTTAATATTACTAAATATCCAAGCATGTTGGTTTATAAAGTTTACCATGTATTGAAATAAAAATATATGGATTGATTTACTTAATATCATTAATTACTTTAAAATTTATTTCTGACCAAAGTAGTTGACGACTATTTACAGGTCATATTTTATTATCGATAAAATATTTGATTTATGAACTTTTAGTGGATCGAAATAAAAGCATATAATATAATAATTTACCAATAAAATGACAATATTTACACTTGAATGGTATATGCATGTGATACAGTACAATACGTATGTAGGGCAGATACCTGTAAACTCCTAGGTCCGTTCAAGGAATGTTTGTTGGAAGGTGTCTGAATAGCCATCATGGTGTCGGCAAACATTCTGGCGCGCAAATTAAGCTCTTTGATCCTTTGCTGGACAGTCATAGGCCTGAGGAACACTCGGCTAGTGTCGGCATGGTCCAGGTTGCCAAGCAGAACATCGGTCTGCGTGGTCTGCGACAGCCGTCTGAAGTACAAACGGTGTTCCTCGTGGTGGGAACCTGATGGGAAATAAAAACGGGATCAATATTAAAGGAGACAGTTAAGCCACCACTTTGAGGCCGGGACTCACCGTCATCGCTCTTCCGGCCCAGACGCCGACCGAACGCGTTCTTGGCCACCGAGTAGCCTACGTACGCGAACCCGGCGAAGATCGCCGAACACACGGCTACTTTGTTGACCGTGTGGTCGTTGGTGGCCGTCGGGTTCAAGGCCATAGCTCGTCGAAGTGCCCAGTCGTCCACGGAAACACAGAGGATCGCGCGACGGAAGAACGATCACGTTCACGAGCGGGCGATACCGTCAAAGTCTACGGGGGGCCGACTGGCCTGTACGCGCCGAGCGAAACATCGAACGGATCAAACAACCGGAAAGCAGCAAAAAAAAGGGTCTGCCGAACGTCCGGCGCGCACTTGTCGCGTATATTGACGTTCCGCGCAGACGACGAGGGGAGAGGTGCTCGCGTGATATCGAAAATCAATACTGTTATCAGATGCGAACAGCTCGGTCAGCCCGTTTTCGGCGCACTGTCGCCCGCTTTCTCGTCCGGCGACCGCGTTACTTCGTCGACACCGCGTCCGTCCCACCACCGCCGCCGTAGACGTCGCGCGCAGTAACCCGGGAAATACGAAAACGTCACTAGCGCGAAATCGTTTAAGCGTTCTTACCTATTGTTCGGACTCTTTTTTCGAAAATCAACACGAGTGGGCGCGCAATATTTTCTCTCGTCGTCAATACTGTTCTCAACATGCACACGATATGCTCAGTGACGTTGCCATCGATTTCGTCGAGACTGTACTACGCCGACGTGTTTCTCATATTCACAAAAATTGAAACGCAATTTTTTTCAAATATATAACAGAAATAGAAATTAAAAAATATTTAAACACGTTCATACATAGTGTTAATCTACTGTGTCAATAATTACTTCGTAGTAACACACTAATCGTCCGAGGAAAAATTGCAAAATAATGCCAAAATTAAAACCTGTAAAACCATTTACATTTAATGTTTCTCCGCGAAGTGTTCGAGACTTTAGAGTATACGTAGTATCACGCCCGGAAAGTGAGGGTACCGGCCTACTGTTCCAGGTAAACAGGCGGCCCACAATGTATTGTTTCGGGAATTTTTAAATGTGTTTGTCTCACAAAATTGATATTTGGTAGGATTTAAAGAGGTTAGAGGGGGGCACTTTCTTATAACCTTAATATTCAACAATCATGATTAGTTATGTGTTGTTATCCATAATCCATGTCCCGTGATACTATACGAAATAAATTTCATTTGTGCGATAAAGTATACGCTTTAAAATAATACACTAAGAATTAGTGGAGTTTAGTAAAAATGCAATATTATTTTATTTGGAATTAACAATTGAAAATATCTTTTTTTAAAGGTTCATAACAAAAATTAAACGTATTATTTACTTTATTCTCGCGCCTGCCATTAGAAAAACTCAGCCAACATATTACTTTGATAAGCAAAAACCAAAAACGAATATCACGATAGAACAATACCAAAAAATATAAAAATATAGTCACACGGTCCCGCCGCGGGCTTAGTTATCAATTTATTTATTGACATCTGTGATAACATCAATTATTATAACCACGGTCTTAGAAGATCTTATAAGATATCTTTTAAGGCCGTGATCATAACACATGTGTATAAACCACAGATTATACACATATTATACATAATAGTATAATATAGACATCTGTGGTATAAATATATATAATATACATAATATATGATATGCATTAAGCACAGTAAATACTAGATTTACTGCCAAAAAGCTGATTCAGACTAGATATCAATATATATATATAATTTATAATATTTATAGGATTTTCTAAAATCGTGCCTTGAGATCATAATTAGGTACCAAAGTGCTACGAGCAGATAATCTGTTCACTATTCTGTAATCTCATTAAGGATTTGTTTCACGGCCGCTGCTTACTGTGCTGCAGTGGGCCAGTCCGGCCCTGCGTAGTATACCTATGGTGAATATTCAAAATAATGTTGAGAGAATACGGCGTATATGTAGTGTGTCCTATGGGAACACCGCTGGTTATACTACCGTTTACAAATAAAGGGATTTTGATCCAGATTGTTTGTTGTGTACTTTCGACGAGGAAAACGAACGAAATAAACAATGGATAAAAATTATCAATATTTTTTATGAAAACGATTTATTTTAAAAGCAATCGGACGACAATATCTACGTTGTCGAACTAATATGGTACATTACATACATATTGTAACAGGTTTAGATCGTTTTCAAGTCGTCAAAGGTGCTGATAAATAATGGCATGCTACAATGCTATAATGCGCTATTTACGAGTATATGCTCAGCGAACACGCAACGATATCGTATTTAAGTTATTAAGTTATTAAGTTAATGCACGAATTTAAATTTGTTCATAGCGTACAATAACATCGTCTCTGTAGAACGAAAATAGGTTTTCTTCTATTGTATGAGTTTTTATTTTTATTTTAGAAATAAATTATAATAATTAATGGATAAATATCACATAATAGAGCAAAATAAAATATTGAAAATTTATTCTATTAGGAAACTTACAGAATATTAAAATACCTACACATTTAATTATTTGAACACGACACCGGAATTCGATATGTTGAAGGATTATCAATTATACTTGGTACATTTAAGAATGTGTTCAATAATCGAAATCGGCTTTCTAACGATTTTATGTCTTGTACCAATGTCGTTAAGAATTGTATATCACGCATTACGGTTTAATATATGAATATCAGTTTTTATAGTTAAAGATTTAGTAATTAACATAATATAATTGCAAGGTTCTAAATCGATTCTCTCATAAAACATTAAGCAAAGAAATATACTTTATTTAAACATTACCTTAAAGCCATAGCACTTAACATTTTATTTTCAACGTGAACGTCTTTTTTTTTACTAGCATCCCTCATTATGATAATTGATTGTACATAATTTATAGTTTCAAAAATTTAAATGTGATGTAATACACGTACAAAAAAATTAAAGGACTAATAATTGGGTTTGATAAAAAATTAATGTATGTGTTATTAATTGATTAAATCACGAAAACTATGATCATGTATATATATATATATATATATATATATATATATATATATATATAT